CTTGCAGATATTTATGTATATATGTCTTATTTTTATTCATCTACCTCTGTAAAAAAAAAACACAATACATTTTCTTTATTTATACTGTAGTTCTTACCAAGGTACTGTTCTCTTTCATCACTTTTCAAAACTTGAAGCTGAAATACAGAAGGAAGATGGCTTTCTGTAAGGACCCTAAACCTGATGGTGCATTCAGGTTTAATCCAGTCTGTGTAAGACTCATGCTTCTAGTCAACAAAAGACAAGTATTTTAAAAGTCTTGTACTTATGTGTGTGAAACCATGTAAACACCTGTGATAGAAGGGTTCCTAATATTTACATGTGCATGTTTTTAAAGATAATTTTACTTGGAGAAAACATTGAGAGTAATGTATCAGAAGTAAATGTTAAAGTAGGCTGTTCGGTATCTCATAAATGTATGCATAACTAGTTTGACACTTTCTTTAACAGTCCATCATGGTGCATTTTGTAAAATTTATGTATAACATCTACCCCATCAAAAAACACTGTAAAGTGCTTTATGTATGCTGTGCTTTACACAGCAGCAGATCATCCCGTGACACAGTGGTTCTTCCCAGTTCATTACTTAGCCTACCCACAATTCCCATGTGCTATGGTCTCCAGCTTCACAGCACAGTCTTCTTGTTTATCTCTCAAATAGCCTGAAGTTCCCATGATCAGTTGCTGTTGAGAAGCACAGATTTATAGCATTAAAAAGAAAGAGTAAAAAATGCAGGTGTAGGTCAAGTGAGGGGATAAAAGTCTTTATTGGTTAAATCTCCTTGTGAGGATTTGAGACTCATCTCCATTCAAGGTAATTAAACATCTTATCTCACTGAGCAAATAACTAAAATATTCTTCTAGTTTTAGGGAAGTGATTATAGTAATATCATGAAATACATATATTATATAGAACAATTCAATATAATGTATAAATATGTAAAATAAAATATATGTGTATTTGTATATAATCTAATTATAAACTGTTGTGGATTTGGTCACATAAATCCTGTGGATTTAATTGGTCCTGGCATAGTTTATAATAACGGACTCATCCTTGCATTATTAGGGCATGGAATTTTCCCCTATTCACTTTGTTAAATCTGTTTTTATTTTCTTAAAAAAAAAAGATGAAGCATATTCTCTCAAGGATTGACATTTGGAAGACTCTTAATTATGGTGTGTTTTATCCTAATCATGCAAATATGTCTTATCCATTACGCTATCTGTTTCCATAATCTTGAAATGGTTTTAATTAGATTCTTCATGGGACAATGGACTCAAATGTGCTCTCTTTGAAATTCAGCAGATTCTATGCTAATATAATAAGCAGAGAGCAGAAGCTAACGGAGCTAAGAGATGTAAATAGTTTGCCATTTTTTTAAAACTGGAAATGCTGACATTTTTCTTTCTTATATTTATGGCTTGATCAAATGCTTCCCCCTCTTTCTTCTTAGGGGTACACCATTATATGAATGTTGTTTAGTTCGGGAAATATACTATAAAATTTTTATAAAGTAAAAAAAGCACTTGACTCTACAAAGTTTAATGACTCTAAGAGTTTATGTAAGTGCATAACAGTTCAGGTTTTGTCCATTAAATAAGAATGAAAAGAAAATGAAATGCTTTCAAGTGGAGTTTGTGCCTGCCTATCATTCTTTTCTGAGAATTACTCTTTTTGGTCAAGGAAGGCAATCATGTTTCTCCTTAATGGACTACTGAGACAGTGTGATTAAAAAAAACAATTAGCTGCTAAGTATGAATAGCAGTACAAGCTTTTTCAAGTATCCTTTTTAGCCATGTCAAAAACAAGCAGATAAGAAAAGCCAGTAGGTCCATCATGTGTGACATTCACTACTCAGTGTTCTGTTATGTGAGTTTCAAGTGACGCTGTTATCAATATGAAATTTACATCTTGGTACATCAATATAATTGCATTTCCTTGTAAAATATATTATAATTCTATCATGTATTCCCTTTGTTTTGTACTATTTATAACATTGGATATTCAGTTTATAAAAATTATTTTATCATTATACTGTGTTGTGATTAGATATCTTTTGAAGAAATTTAATATAGATAGAGATAGTTTTTCATGACTACATGTACCGATGGGTTAGAGATATGGCTCCGCAGGTAAGATCACTTGCAGTACAATCATGAGTACCTGATACAAAACATTGAACCCATGTACCAAGTGGGGTGTCCTATAAATGTCCATAACTCCAGCTCAGACGAATACAGAACTGTCTTCTGCCCCCACGCACATAAGTATGAACATCTACACACAGCCATGTACATACATTTATGCAGACAAATACACACTTTTAAATGAAATAATCTTTGAGAACAAATGTAAAAAGCATGCTAAATTGCCACTGGAACAATTAGCAGTTATTCTAACTTTTGATGTTTCTGATGGGGTAGATGTTATACATAAATTTTACAAAATGCACCATGATTGACTGTTAAAGAAGTGTCAAACTAAGTATTTTAGGTGCTTAGACTTTGAAACCATAAATCAACATTAAACTTCCAATGAAATAACTTAAGTTCTACTAAAAATGGAACTAGTTGGAATAAGCTGGTAGGTTCAGAATACTTTCCATCATTATACAACTTGAAAACAGCATAATTTCTATATATCTATAAAAATAAATCACTGAGTTACTTTATCCTTTTCCATTATTTTCAACAATTTTACATGTTATTATGAAAAGTTGTAGAACAAATTTTTCGTTCTGTTAAAGTAACTCATCATCACTACATTAGTATGATCCTGTGATTAACTGATATGTAAAGTTTCCTTGGCATATACCAACTATTTGAAATTTCTTGTAATTTAACTGTAAAAATAGATCAAAGCAGAAACAAAATGATCTTTTAACAACCATTGAAAAATTTAGTTGTCAGCAGCGCAGTAAAATAACTTTCTTTGCTCTATTTAGAACCTTTGAGAAGTATTATTTCCTAATACCTAATCAAATAATACAAATACTAAGTGTGTGTGTGTGTGTGTGTGCGTGTGTGTTACCAGGCAGTTGATATCACATACTCTCCTAAGTCACTCCCCATGTATTTGTTTAATATTTACCCTAATTTTATTTGTGTGTATGTGAAGGAGGTATGCATAGGTGTTGGTGCATGCACCCACAGAGTCCAGAAGAATACATCAGATCCCCTGGATGTGGAGTGATAAACAGTTGTGAGTCACCTGACATGTGTCCTGGCAACTCAACACAAGTCTTCTGCCAGATCAGTGTACAATCTTCATCACTGAGACATCTCCCCAGTCCCTGGCCAACTTATTATCTTTTGAGACACAAAAGTTATCAATCTCAAATTCAAGGCTCAACTAAAATGGCTGGTCAATATGAACCTGGGTATCTGCCCATCTCTCCCATCTCTCCAGCCTTGGGGTTGCCAACCTAAGCCACCACACCCCACTGCTCACACATCTGCTAGGGATCAGAGCTCACTTTCTCATGTTTACATAGCAGAAAACTTCAGATTGAGACTTCTGTCCTGGTCTTAATTCCATATATGTATTAAGATGGATGAGTTCTTGTCTTCTGAGATAAATCTGTTCTTTACAAAACAACTTGCTAAGGAGAAAATATGCATATGCAAATGCAAAAATGTATATGCATGTTATGTGTATTTCCGTGTATCTATATATACATGCTACATATGAGAAAACATGTTTGCACACGTATATATGCATATGAACACATGGCACACAAACACATATATATGTATTTATATACATTCTAACAGTAAATATATGTGCATATATTTTTAAATTGAGACAGGAAAATATTATTTGTTCCAGACAATTTCATGTAAGAATTTAATATGGGAGAATCTCCTGAAATGTGTAGGAAGGTAAAACAGAATAAAAATTTCTACTTAGCCCAAGTCTACTAATGCTAAAGAAGTTAAAAAATTTAAAAATTAAGAAGGTGCTACTTCTAGCTGGAACTGGGTGTATGGTGCCAGTGAGGTGGCTTCTGGGGCTATTCCCTACAATGAAGGAGAAATGCACTCTGGATTTTCCTCTGAATGCTTGACTCTTTCACCAGCAATTCTCAATGTCTAAACTCTAACCCAGTAGTAGCTGGAGTCAGTTCTCAATAATCCAGAACATAACTACAAAGAAAGCCTCTTAGATTCTAATATGGAAAGAACAAAGATGAGAGACAGAATAATTTTGGTGAACAAAAGCATTTACTAAGTGACTTGGTGAAACCTCCTCCTTTGTTCATTTAGTAGCTGGGTGTATATTTCTCATATTTCTCAAATAGCAGAAGCTTAGAGCAAATGGTGCCCGAGAGGTAAATTTACTTTGATTTTTATCATATTGTAAAAACATTCCACCTGCGTTTGGTTGAATTTTCTGGTAAGAATTTTATTGTAGTAGTCACATATCACATTAGCAGATATGCATTGTTTACTGAAGAGATCTCTATCATGTATCAATTTAGAATTTAGGATTTTGCCTCATAAGTAGCTCCAAAGTTAATATTGTGAGCATTCCAGTTTTTTTTTAACTGATGGTGTGTGCTTTCTTTAGAGGGTAAAGGTTTATAAATTCAATATAGGGCATTAACTTCATTTTTGAACTGATAGTTATTGTGTTAAAGTATATTTTACATCTAAATCCAGTGTGTTTGTATATTTTCTTTACTGATGGCTTATTAAAATACACACCACTTTTTCTACAAATGCTTCCTACTCTATGTAATATTCTGATTAACCCATGACTGGTTAGTGACTGGATAATACTTTTATTTTATAATTACTACCCCCATTTTGTTCTAATCTTACTTCACATTTAAATGCACCACATTTAATTTTAGCACTGATTTTTAGAGGAAAAGAAGAAAAGATCTCTCATGAAAAACACTAACTTCCTTTCCTGACATGAATCATATGTTTGAATTTAACGTGTCTAGAATTTTACTTTTCTTTCTAAACAATGTTTTGTTTTTTCATCGCAGACGTTTGGAACAGAATTCCATCAGGGTCATCCCTCCAGGAGCCTTCTCACCATACAAAAAGCTTAGACGACTGTAAGTTAACAAGGCCATGCAGAGATATGTCATTTTTTAAATTATGTAGGTCAAGACTATGCAGGGATAATTAAGCATAGCCATTGAAGAGATTGGCAGCTTAATTTCAGTGTGATTGCCAGTTGTATAACAGCACTTTAATCTTACTAGTGAAACCTTGTAATTTTTAATGTTCACTGTGATTTAGTTTATTGATTCCCACAAAAACTTGTCTTGACATCGTTGATATGCTATTGTCTAAAGATGCCATTTTTACTAATAACTTAAGCAAATGGACAGTAGTTGTTTTACAGAACGGGATCCATCCTTAAATTTTCTGATTCTCTGATGCTTCATTTTGAAAGTTGTACGTGTGTCTTCGTGTCTTCATAGACAACATGTACAAGTAAATCCTCTTCTCTAGCCAATTTCCATGGCATCCTATTTCACCTAACCCAACCTTACTTCTGATTGTAGAGACCTGAGCAATAACCAGATCTCTGAACTTGCTCCAGATGCCTTCCAAGGACTGCGTTCTCTGAATTCCCTGTAAGTAGACACAGTTTTCCAGAGGAAGTACAACATTTTCTAAGTAATCAATGGTGGATTTCATCATCTCACAGAGGTCTGCTGGCTATCATTAACACTAGCCAATTTTTAGGGTAGAAAGTGTGTTTGTGTGTGTGTGTGTGTGTGTGTGTGTGTGTATATTTTAACTTTGTTATTAAAGGAAGGATAGCAGTCCCTTTGGGAGATTATTTTTTATCCAGCTTTAATGTCAGGACAGGTTATTTTGAAGTCCTCCAGACAACTCTAGATTTATGACTCAGTCTATAGCTTCATGTATCTCAGCACAATGTTGGTCCATTTAGAATGATAAAGTCCGTGCGTTGCTGAGAATAAGTAAGCCCTGGGAGCCAGCCTTTCATCCTCTTTTATTACAGGAGGATTTTCCCTCTGATGTAGCCCCATAATAAGCATTAGTTATGAAGGTCAAGAAGACTTTCAGGAAGATAGCTATGCAAATTGGAGATGGGTTAAAATAAGTTATTTAAAGGTTACCATTATTTCTACTTATGAAAAGTTTTCAAAGTGTGTCAAGTAAAGTAACCTTTTGTCTTTAAAATGAGTGTAGAGTCTAGCTTGCTTGCTTGCTTGCTTGCTTGCTTGCTTGTTCCACTGGTAATAAATTGTTGCCAGCCTCTCAGGTTTCAGAAGTCAGTCCCTCCCTCCTTTTCTGCCATAGTATCTTTTAATAAGTAAAGAAAAATGTGTTTATACAAGTTTCTTTTATATTTTATCTTTTAAGATTTTCCTGCAAATATCCTCAAGTATGTATTTAAGTTAATTTGATTAGTACATCTACTGAAGATGTGAAAACAGTTTAAACAATATGTTGTCAGTGCCTCTACAGAACTTTCATTAAAACAAAACAACTTGAAATTGATATTAAATTACCAAACTAACAATTGTCATGTCTTAGAGACATCAGGGCTTTATTTGTACAAAGATTTTTATGGCCACTCTTAATATGTACAATATCATTTACTATTATTAACATTAATGCGTATTATATATTATACTTCTACATATTAGTATAATGTAAAATGTAGTATTGGCGCAGTATCTTTTAAAAGTCATACAATAATCGGATGAGTTTTCCGTGGGAACAACAGACTACTACATATTGTATATATGTATTTATTGATGTTTGTGTGTGTGCTTTTGTGCATGAGTAGAGAGGAGAGAACTTGTAGACTTGCATCCTTCCATTTCACCTGTGGGTCCCCGGGACTGAGCTCACCTCCACACTTTGGGCGGGTACTTTTACTTGCTGAGTCATCTCACTGCCTCTCATGTAGAATTCTGTTTTTCTTACTGTAACAGCACTAAACTTTCTGTACTGCTTAAAAGTTATGTTGCGGGCAAGCATACTATATGGAATACTACTGCTCTCTATAGTTTAATTATTTCTTCCTTTAATCTTATAGGAGGAAATTCACTTTCATGATTTGTGTGTGTGTGTGTGTGTGTGTGTGTGTGTGTCTGTCTGTCTGTCTGTCTGTCTGCCTGCCTTTTCTCTGCCCCTCTCTGTCTCTCTCTCTCTCTCTGTCTCTCTCTCTCTCTCTCTCAAGAACAGAAAACAACTTTGCATATAATTTTGCATTTCATTTTCTTTATTACCAAATCTAAGTTATATATGTGTAGCATGGCAAGTGCTTTTACCCATGGGGCCTATTCTCCACCCGTCTGCAGTCATTTTATTTTTCTCACTTCATTGATTTATCTTGACACAGAAACACCCTTCCATGTTTAAGAAATAAATGCAGAGCAGAGTAACGGGTACCAGGCTTCTACTTTCAACCTTCTGATGCTTTGTGTTCAAGTCTTATTCCCTCCTCTTCCGAGTTCATGAGCAAGTTACTAATTCACATGTGCCTCAGTTATCCTGTCTGTAAAATAGGGGAGCACATTCTCCCTTTGCTGGATTTACAGAAGCTGGATGCAGAGTGCTAGAGGTAGTATGTACAGCCATGGCAGATTCTTGGCCTTCTGTGCATCAACCCTTAGCATCATTTTAAATTAATACATTGAGAATGACCCAAAGACACTGACCAGGATGGGGGATGACTAGCATAACAGCTTGTAGGACTCTTATAAAAGAGTCTAATTCATCTTCCAGCACCCATGTTAAGTGTGGATACCATCACACACATGCATATCCCCCCATACACTCATATCAGAATCAACTAAAATATAGTTTTCAGTGTCACTCACTGTTGTATGCCATCTTTGTCACCTAGTCCTGGGTCTGCAGAGGCTGCTATATAGCACTCACCTGCTAATTTTGAGTGTTCTGAAGTCTGTTCTGGGACTGCAGTAGACTCTACTGCCTAACAATACATATTTCACCCCTGGGCTTTTCACGACAGTGAGAGCCCATTTTTCCCGCTCATCCTTTGCTTTCTGTTTACTGCACTTTCTTAAAAATCTTTCATCATTCGAATTCTCCAAGTGCGCATCATTGCTTTGAATCTATGGATGTAGTTCTTTGGATGTGTCCTTTAATGATGAAGGCAGTCCACAGCAAATCATTTGCAATAGCCATTGTCCATAGTAAATCTCCTGTTATAGCCAATGTGCCTTTTCCCGTGTTGAGTATTTTTTTTTTTCTGGCTGCAGGAACATTCTCTTTTGCAACCTTTCAGCAAGGCAGAATTCAACCTGGCCAGCAGCAGCTGCCACTATCCCTAAGTCTAAACCCATGCATTTAAAATAGATTGTTTCGGTGCTCGTTGCACAAACGAGGACCTCCTTCCCATAAAGGACCACTTTCCTGTTAATTGCTGATTAATCGTCCTTCTGTGAAGCACACTGGACATGCCATGAAGAAGAAAACTAGAGACACTACTCAGTGAATTATTAGTTATATTTGTGTTCACTCCAATTTCCTTTTCAGAGGAGTTTGTTTATGTTTTCCAGTTTCTCTTTTTAATTCTTTTCCTCTTAAAAAGCCTCCCTGTCACTCCATTCTTTAAGTATGTGATCCCTGGTGGTTTCCCCAGGCTCCATGGAGGCCACACGTCCAAAAGTATACTTGAGGGATTTAAAGTTAAGAAAACAAAACAGAAAGAAAGAAAAGGAGAAGAGCCAAAGGTTAGGAGAGAAACAGGAGTTTGGGGGAGTTGCGGAAGGGAGCAAATGTTTTCAAGATACATTGTTCACACTTCTCAAAGAAATGAAAATCATGGCAAAAAAACATAGCACAAATTCTAACTGGCCTTTTTGCACTTTATTTTTGTATGTCTTGCCTTTCCCTCATTTTTATATATTGTATTATTTTCTTGACAGTCATTTGGCTTTTGATAATTTTGACGGATGTCTCTGCTGGGACTATCTTCTCACTGCTGCTACATCAGAGAAGTGACTTTATCTGTAACTCAGCTTCCTATAGGTAGAGATAGGAGGACCCCTGATGCTGGTAGGACAGCCACAGTCCTCTTTGGGCAACATCCTGGTAGTGTGACTCACCCTGTCTCTAAAATCGCAGGGGTAGGAATGATTGACGGCACTTGATGTTGGGGTCTGTGCCGAACACACATGTGTAAACACACACTCACATGCACACACAAATATGCATACCCCGAAGACCCTACCAGACCCTGCTCTGGAGTAGTTATGCATCTTGGTAGAGAAATCTAAAAACCTCATCTGTAGAGTATTTTATTTGTTAACTGGTAGCATTTACAGTTGATAAATCATATCAAGAACACCTCTCTGGCATGCTCCCTGTGCCACTGCATGGGTTCCTCCTGTCATTGTTGTTTTTCTATTCTGTCTGATGCTAAAAATATTAATTTAGTAATTTTGTAAACATGATTCTTTAAAAACCCAAATGTTTTTTGGGGGAAAGAGAATGAGTCGACGATACAAACATGACATTACTCTTAACCAAAGCACCTTAGATACATCTCAGCCATCAAAAGCCCCAACTGAACAGACTGTTAAATGACTCACCTTTTGATTTCTTTTTCAAAGGAGACTCCCACAATTTGAGTATCTTCGTTGATTTTCGATATCAGCGGATTTAAAAATATAAAAATGTTGTTTTCAAAATTACACTTTGAATTGTTCTTTGGATATAAAACCCATTAATCTCGGCCATATCAACTGTATGTTGGCAGATGATGGACATTTATAACATACTGCTTAAATTTAATTAAAGTGGGTGCCATGCTTACAGTCGGGTAGAGTTGCTGGCACATGCAGTGGCACAATGGCTATTGTTAGGTGGCTTAATTTAATTAAATATCACAAGCCGATGTCCTATTAATTTGTCCACTTGTGTCCCCTACTTCGAAGCATACATTTATCCTTTATCCTTTCTTCATCTCCACTTCACCTTCTCTCTAACAATATAGCATTTTCTCTTTTGTTCTTTGATTTTTTTTAAATCCTTTCTTTTCTAATTGATTTGCTTCTCTAAAGGAAACTCTGTATATAGTCTATATAAGTGATCTTTCACGTGTGCTTCAAAGATGTAGCACTGGAATCTGAAGAAATAGGCCGTGTCCCTGTGCTATGTCGCTCCCTGCTTTATTTCTATCTTTAAGTGTTTTCCTCCTGCTTTGTAATACATTCCAACTCCCTCTGACATCTTAAAAGGTGAAAGTGTTTCCTTCACTCTACTCATTGCTCTCCCATTGTGTGCTTGTCCTTTGTACACTAGAGTCATACACTGCTGTCAAGCAAATTTCTTAAACTCAAATTTTAAGTTTTTCACTTATGTACCATGACTGTGATCTATATTTTTCCAAGGAATGTGTTTCTGCTTGTAAAATTATGTTTATTTTAGGAAATGTGTACACACACACACACACACACACGCACACATATTCAAATAACCTCTAAGAGGCAAAACAGTTTTTAATTCAGTTGTAAATTTATGTGCACATATTTCCAAAGAAAATTTATATAATATTGTTAATAAAATGTCATACATTTCAAATATCTAGCCTTATAAGTTCTTCAATTTTACTGAATATCTTTCAATCTTTAATTTTTCACCAGATAAATGTATATTTCAGAAATTATTATTCTGGTGTTTGGGAAAGTTGTTTGAGTTTAGTTTTCTTGTCTTTCAAATTATGCATGTTTAAAATTTTATATGTAAATATGTTATCAGGAGTTATTTTCTTAGCCAGACATCCAAAGAGTGTCTTGAACCATATGCTTAAATCTTAAATAAATACACCTATGATTTTTGATATATGTAGTCAAATGCCCCCTGAGAGTACCTTTTAATTTCTACACATTGTTCTCATACTCTAATTTTAAATGCTGTAATAGACATTGTTGGGAACCCATCGTTACCACTTAAACATCATTTCCATTCTCTTCATTCAGCTCATTTGCTCCTTGTACCACTGTTTCACCCTGCTCCGAAATATATTCCTTCATTATTCTCAGCTAATTTATCATCATTGCAAGTGTCAACCCAGTTCCAGAACACCTAACACCTGTGCTAGGCAGCAGATGTGCTGATTTGATTACGTCAAGGTCCTTTCCCTTAATATTGTCACTTGATGTGCAATCAGAAGTCAGTATCTTGATGGTGCATTCCACTTCACACTGATGGAGGAGAAATACACACTTGAAAAGTTTGCAAGTCATATTTATAATCATTATTTTTCCAGATCTTATATTTCTCATACATGCAAATTAATACCGTTTCCTTACTAAGTTTCTGGCCTTATTTGGTTTTCTATTTATCTATCAGTGTTATGAAATCACTCATTTTATGAGCAATTGATTCTATACTGACTGATCTTTGCTACATATTCTCTGCTCTGGTAGCCTGCATATGTGTAGGAGTGTTGTATGCAGAAAATATTTCAAATTGACAAATACTATTTTCACAAAAGGGTGAATAAATTGTGAATTATATAGTCTTGTTAATCTATGTTTTCTATGTATTGAAAATTATGTAAGTAAACCTACATATTATCTATAATCAGACAATTTTTATTTTATTCAATTTTCACTTGGATGATGCATTAAGCACCTACTAAGCTCCCTAAGCATATGTGTGTGCTGTGTATGTACATATGTATGTATATATGTGTGTATATATGTTATATGAACTTAAATATAAATGTGTATATGTATTACATGAACTAATTTAGGCTTCTTTAATTCTCCTTTTTATATAATTTTTTAGTGTCCTATATGGAAATAAAATCACAGAACTCCCAAAAAGTTTATTTGAAGGACTATTTTCCTTACAGCTACTGTAAGTATTTGATTACTCTTGATCTGTGAAATCTAATATTAATGTCTTTTCTAATCTCTTAATTATCTTGAGTCGTCAATCCAAAATGAAACAGCTTAATGACATAAAAATGACAAATGTAGCACTGGAGAAGGAAGGCACAACTATGTCGAGCTGTCTAAGAACAATTCTCTCCACAATGAAATGATTGTGTTTTGGCTGCCCCACTGGAGAGGTTCTGTAGTTATATGCACACCATAAAGACTATAGTTCTCATGTTAGCAGCAGCTGGTATAGAGCTAGAGAGATGGGATACATTCACCAGCCTCTTATCACAGAAGATCTATGAGCAGAAATCCCAGACTTACTTCTGCAAATGCAGGCACGGGGTACAGTGAAACATCCTGTGGAGGCAGTCTCCTGATTATTCTCTATTGACTTGTCTGTGACTCCCTCTATTCTATAAATACCATTCCACTTAGACTATAGCTGCCCCTCATTTGTACTGAAAGAAATAATCATTCTATTTATAGGTATCAAATTTGATGGTGTGTATCTTAATCTCTGACCATTTTCAAAGTAAGTTTGTCAAACAGAGAGACCTGGAGGACACTGTGAAAGTTGAATTTAATTTGTAGCATCTATTACATAGAAAGCTCATTTGTGGCAGACCCTCATCTGGAAGCCTAGCATAGGGAGATAAGATATGCTGCCTTCCTTTGCCTTTCACCAATCTCTCTTACAATTCTTCAACTTAGAATGTCGTTTTCTCTTTCATTCATTGGCATTTCTGTGGTTAAAGCATTATTAGTAACCTTATACTTTTTCTTACTTTAGCTAATATTCCTTACTTGAGAAACATATTGTCACTATCACATCCAATTATCTTTGTGCTAAACCCTTTTCACCATTCTGCACAACTGCAGTTTGTATCACATCCAGGTACAAATACACAAATAGACTGATGTTAAAACAAACAGACAAGAACCTTACTGTGTGTATCATTCCCCTCTTCTTAACACTCTGTAATCTACTTAAATCTACTTACATTATGATGTATACATTAGTAAGTGAGCACTTTTTCATGGTGAGGGAAGCATAGAGATCTGAGAGAACCGTATTTATAAAGCCACTGTTTTTAATAGCCCATCTCCCAACTCTCAAGGACTACCCATTCTTCAGCCTTCCAGAATTAAAAACAACAACAACAACAACAACAACAACAACAAAGTTATCCTAATCCTTTTAACAATACCCTGTAACATAATGAAGTGACAAGTTTTAGCTTTTGTAAAACAGATGGAAGTAGGAAGAAGTAAGTTAATGAAACCTAAACCCTAAGGAAATGGCTGCTGGTGTATCTTTATTCTTCCTAATCCTGTTGTTTTAAAATGAGTACCAACTTCTCACAAAAACAGTCTTCAACATCTTCAGGCCTCCCTCCATTTCCTCATCTTTAGTTTTTTATTTCCCAACTCCTTTATTCCATTAACATATGAATTAAAGAACGTTATCAGCGTTGCTTGTATTGTTGCAAAGGCGGGGAGGTATGTATTTCTTGATCCCTTCTGCACACAAGTCAGTCCTCCCACCCTAGATTCAAAACATTGCTCCAGGGCTTTTAGGCAATTTTTTGATGCAAACTTCAGCTCCTCATGGGAGAGCACAGAGCACAGGAAACAGGACCATCATACCACAGCCTTACATATTCAGAAAGAATCTAAGTATCAAGCAAGTGGAATTCAAAACTGTATTAGCTGTAAGCATGTTTGTTCTCATTGTCAAATGAGAACACATACTCATTACATTACATGAGAATTACCCAAACCACATGGCAGGTAATTTTGAACTATTAGATGTTTTAATTCTCGAAATAAAATAACAATGTCAAAACAAAACACGTTAAACAAGTACTGCAAAAATGGCTAAGCTGGTTTTAGAAGTATGTGTTCCTCAGCTTAGAACAGGTAATAGAATCATGTGGCACCACATACTGTGCTTAGGAAGAGTCACAGAGAGGGTAGAGTCTGCTTAGGTAGAAATTGTATTCTGGAAAAGATGTACTGCACCAATGGTAAGGCACAGTCATCTCTAACTATCATATTTAACCTACCTAAATGATGCCTACCACTGTATGATATCTAAAGCACACTTTCACAATGCAACGATGTAATCTAGGCAAACAGTGAGATTGTGAGATAGTGTCTTAGATAAGTATTTTTACTGCAACTAGAGCCTTGAATGTAGTACTGTAACTTTCCTTTCCAGAAAAGTGAGGTAGTCATGTGTCAGCAGATACACTTGAGCATGTAGTATGTATTAGGGGTGTGTGAAATAGGAGGGAACAAAATACACAAAACCCATGTCATCCTGGGCACAAATGGCAACATTTGGAAACATCAATAACAAAAATTTAAACACATATATACATATATGTATATATATGCTACATGTGTATATGCTACATGTATGATACAGATAAATATCAGCATTTCTTGATAGAATATATATATATATATATATATATATATATATATATATATATATATAAAAGAAAGTAGACTTTTTATATAGTCACTTGAAAGAACTGGGGATTAGAAAGTAGAAAAGCAACCCTGTAAATATATGAAGCAATGCAGGGTGGAAAAGGAACATGCTTATGTTTACTAGAAACCCAAAAGGCAATGTAACTAGCAAGCCACACATCTGGGATTCTAAATTCTAAAGAGAGGATAAGAGAATCTAGTCTTGATAGAAAATAGAAAGTTGTGAACTGGAATAGCCATGGGGTGAGGCGGTAGAGTTCCAGGATTAAGCTATTGACCCTTTTAGACGTTCTGAAGGATGCTGTCTAGTCTTTTACTCTGCCCAGAGCTGTTACATAGTCTTGGGAGGTAGGCCATGATCCCATGTGTATTATAATGACCACTCTGGCTGTTGTTTTAGAAGGAGGCTCAGCTTCTCCAAAGTAGCTGGAGATACTAATAATGTTTATAATTGTTACTAGTTTGATTTTGACAACAGAATCTGATCCTCATCTACCTTTGTCTATGGTTTTGCCTTTATATCATCCTTTATAGTCTTGTGATCTGTTTTTTGAATCCATTTATGGAGTATAACCAAATTTCAGTTCATTTGACCATGTGCCTTTTGCTTTTTCATGTAAACTTTCAATCTCCCACCCATAGTGCCTACATCATAATTAAATTTATGAAGTTAGTATTGGGATGAAATATTGTTTTCCTCTTGGTTTTCCTACAGAAGGGCTATTTTGCAGATGACTTAATGAGATGCTACATTTTAATTTTGTGACTGCTTGATCAAACAGATTATTGAATGCCAACAAGATAAACTGCCTTCGTGTAGATGCTTTCCAGGACCTGCACAACTTGAACCTTCTCTCCTTATATGACAATAAGCTTCAGACTGTTGCCAAGGGCACCTTCTCAACTCTCAGAGCCATCCAAACTATGTATGTATGCAAAATTTGGGCAGGGTATAATGGCGATTACTTTCACTGTGAATGTGCAAGCCAAGTCTCATGCAAGTAGTATATAAAACTCTTCTGCTGTGTTTCTGAAAGGCATTTGGCCCAGAATCCTTTCATTTGTGACTGCCATCTCAAGTGGCTAGCGGATTATCTCCACACCAACCCAATTGAGACCAGCGGTGCCCGTTGCACCAGCCCCCGCCGCCTGGCGAACAAAAGAATTGGACAGATCAAAAGCAAGAAATTCCGTTGTTCAGGTAATTTCTCACTTCATGAGACATTTCCCTTAGGATCGAAAGCCACAGTTATATGAAAATTAGCAACAGCAGCTGCCTTCAGCTGATTACCAAACATTGTACAGTTTCAGTTTTTTCCTGCTGTCTGGGAAGCGGAAAAGCAGAAGAAATAGAGACACAACACAAATAGTGTATCTACTAAAATAAGTATCAGTCTAATGAAGGGAACCCCTGGATCCTTCATACTATGTTTATAGGATTCAGATGTAACCAGGATCTTTTAGATAACATGAAACACTGCTCAAGTGGTGTTACCCTTTCTGTTTGTTCTACTGTTCTCTATTGGCCAGAGCCAAATAGTTGGACTTGCTTTTATTTATTCACAAACTAAAATAAGATTGATTACATGTATTTTTTTCAACCTGAAAAGTACAGAGTAGGAAGCCAAAGATGCCTCATCTCTTTCTGAAATATTCCATGAAGACACATTTTTAAGACTATCTGTTCTCATCTGGGGAATAGTGTGTTTATCCAACGAAAGCATCAGATGGCTGTTAACTGGGAAGCTTACTCTGCCTTTCTTATTGGTCTAGTGTTATATGTGTTCTGATGGGAGGAAACATTACCTATCATTTGGGAAGTGTGCTACCTAACTCTGCTGGGCGCATTTCTCATTGTGCAGTTAATACATGTTAAACGTCTAGTATAAAACTGTATTTGTTATTGTCCATGTTTATAATGAGTTTATCACTCACTGTATGTTGTTAATTTCTATGAATATACATTGTCACTTAGTTACCTGTAGAAACTTTAGTCCATTCTTAATCTAAGGTAATTCATATCTCTGCTTGTTGACATTCAGGAACATCTTCTATTTTTCTCTCTCTTTTTTTTTATTTAGCTAAAGAACAGTATTTCATTCCAGGTAGGTTTTGCTCGGTGGTAGGACTAACTGCAGACACCTTTTCCTCGACTTATATAGCTTCTAGACATTGATGTGCATGCTTTTGGAAGTACAGTGAACACTTCATAGTGACTCACGCATAGATCACTTAGCGCTGTATATCCTGAAAGCCCCACCTCTGCATGCAGCTTTTGATGCCGAACCTTTCTATTTTAAAAACAAAAAAAGAAAAACCACCTTCTTTCCTCTCCCTTTCTCCTTGGCACATCGTCTGCAGTTTCTCATGGTAGCGAAATATTTAAACCTATGGCTTTCTACTTAAATCATATTTTTCTGTCTTTATATTGAATATCTAATCTTTGAGGCTGTTTTTAAAATATAGCTTCCTAGGCTAATTTTAAAGACAGCAGCCCCTCTATTGTCAAAGAGCTAGTTCTATATAAAATCAGGTGTAAACATGCAAAACCTCATTTTTAACAACAAAAAATTATGTTTTTGAAGCATCTTGGTTTAAAAAGAATACTTTTTGCTTACTTTTGTTTTCCTTTTAACAAAAGACAGCTGCTTCATACTGATTTAACTGCACTTGTGGGGGGTTTTTTATTAATTTATTTCCAATTGTACATTTTTGCCTGTCTGGAGTCAGATTACGCTGCAAACAGGATATTCACATGTATCTTGAAGTCATTAGCAGTTAATGGGCACCGATACCTTGAGTAATCTAAGCAGAAGGATTCTGTATTTCTAAAGTTGCAATTGTAATATGTTTTCCCTTTGCTTCCATCCAACACCTTCAAACTGATGAGTCTAGACCTAGCTCTTTAAAGTATATCCCTCACTTTGTTCTTGTGTAAATGCCTCATAACTTGTTTGCTTTAATTTACTATATAAATCAGGACCAATCAATACCATATATATATATGGTATTGATTGATTCTGTTTTATATGATTTATACATATATACATATGATATTGATTGGTCTCGATATTAAGGGTGTATTTATTACTTATTCTTATCATTTAATTAATTATATATAATAGATTTAAGTATATTGCTTATTTTGAATTTTAATGCTCAACTAATATTCTACATATTATGTCTGTACTGTATAAGCAGTAATGTGTTGAAAAGAGCAATTGATTGATCTTCATGATCATTTACAGCTTTTGTTATTTTTAGCCAATTATGTGCAAAGTTACCTACTAATTATGGCTTAGCTTTAAAAAAGAATCCCTCTGAGAACCAGACTATGACTAGACCAGCATACAAATATGATTTAAATTCCTAAATTGTGGCAATTCATCTAATCACTGCCAAATTATTCCATTTAGTTTATTAATAATTTAAATACAACAATCCCAATAAAACTCAACGCAATACAGATGTCATGCTAATTGTTAAATTTTCTGCTCTTGCTGGAAGATAGAAGCCCAGATAGGCTTTAAGAAGTAATTTCTATATGAAAGATAATGTCTAAATGTCACTTATTGATGATTAAGTTCACAGTTTTGATTTCCTTGTAGACGCCATGGCACATTGATTACTTGTTCCTCACTTTGCTCTTTTTTCCACGTCAGATACTAATTACGGTTTGTGTCTACCAAACACATGGTGTTAAACTACGCATTACTGATTGCTGTGATAGTAATTATACATTTTAAATGCATTCAATGAACCTATTATCGATATGCTATCAGAATAATATTAGCTTTCTTGTGGCTAAATCTCTGAAGACTGAAAAGAAACACATCCTTCAATTTTTTAGGGTAACTCTCATTGATGTATTGGAATGTAACCTTTTATATTTGATATATTTGGCATTTCAATTTTTGTTAAAATTATGATTATGTTCCCACTAAGTGACATGCTTTAAAACTTGGGAGAGTCATTTGGAAGCATATGACCTACGCCCTAACTATTATCTATCTACTGTCCTTGTAACTTTCCATCATTGGCTTTTTATTCATTTTATATGTGTATTCATCTATTGCTATTCTGTATGGCACAATAGAAAATCTGTCTCACAGGGAGTTCGTCCATTAGAAGAAGCCATAAGTATTTTACTTGTATTGCACATCTTTTAGGTCATTGCATTGCCTATGAGCCATTATACTTCAAAAGTGCAATACTATTGCAAAGCATGACAAACGCATTACACAATGCTATCTTGTGTCTCTTATGGTAAAGAAATAAGGAAGAGAATATAGTTTTTTGGTTGTGTGCACGCATGTGTGTGTGTGTGTGTATGTGTGTGTGTGTGTTTGTATATGTCTATAAACCTTAACTAGGATGATTCTGTCTTTCTTTCCTCCTTGGTGATTTTTTCTTTTGCAGGAATTCACCATTTGGCCTGTAAGTAAAAGTGTCTCATCTGAAATGTAACCTATCCTCTTTTCAATCCCCGATGTACCTTCTTCTAGTCTTCATGTTTTGCACCTCTTTTCCGTGAAGAAACCACAGATCTCTTGAGCTTCTCTGTTGTCCTTGTAGCTTACCTTCAACTTCTTCCTGGATGTTCTTCCCGAAAGCTGTGGTCCCCCACGCTGCAGTTCTGAGGAACGTGGGAGGCATCTTTCCATATAGCCCCTTCTTTGTGTTTCCAGGCCTCCGGTAGTTATGCTCTCGCTCTGATCATACACAATCTGCGGGAAGAATGCATGTCGTGTAACAGTACGATGCTTCCAGAGCGTCCGTAGCTTTTCTCCTCCCTTCGTCTTTCCTCTCAGTCTTCCCTCTGGCCTAGTGGTTGGTGTAGTGATAATGGAGCGAGATTTTCTGTTGTGCTTGATCTAACCATGTGCTTGCGAGGTATGAGTAAAACATGGTTCCGTCAAGCACCATGGAACGTCACGCAGCTTTCTACAGCATGACAAGCTGCTGAGGCTCAAGGCAGGACTTACTTGTCTTTTTTATAGACTCAAAATGAAAAAAAAGAGGGCTTTGGGGGCGTTTCTGAAGATTATATGAGAGGGGGAGAATAACAAACGTCCGTAGGAAAAAAATTAAAATCTAAGTATATCGATTATCTTTGAAAGCCCTATTTTACAGTAATATACAGGAGTATGTTTATTACTAGATATGTTTTCAATTTTTTTACTCAGAAAAAAAATAAACTTTTTTTTTAACGATTCATACCCATTGTGTGATTATCTGTGGAATAGACTAGGAGCACGGCTCAGAATCGGATCAGCAGAAAGTACAGCTGTGAAAAGCTCACCTTTATGAATGTTTTCCTGTCATGTGCATCTGGTCGCCTTTTTTTCCAGAAAATTCCGAGCCTTTCTTTTAACCCTCACCTGATAGCCATTGACCAAAACTCCCTAAGTTGTCTCCCTGCTGCATAATCTATAGCTATCCTACCATTTTTCTTCCCGTTATTTTAACGACTGTTCCAACATTCAGACTGAGAATCTTATGTTTGGCTTGAATCCTCAATAGGTACAGAAGATTATCGATCAAAATTAAGTGGGGACTGCTTTGCAGACTTGGCTTGTCCTGAAAAGTGTCGCTGTGAAGGGACCACAGTAGACTGCTCCAATCAAAAACTCAACAAAATCCCAGAACATATTCCCCAGTACACAGCAGAGCTGTAAGTTAATCTGACCACAGAATCCTGGCTGGGAGGGAGCAAGGGACAGAGACACTGCATAGAAGCATTAGAATTTTTGCCATGACATTTTAATTCTTGATAATTGAATTAAGTAGCTTATATACAATGAATTGTGAGCACCTCTTCTTTGTCAGAGAATATGTTCAATGCTATTTTAGGTCACTCTTTTATGTGAACAAAATATTTAAGATGAATCCTGCTTTTTAAGCATCAAGTAAACAGTCATATTATCTTTAAAAATCCAGTCGTCACTTAGTAATGTTAATAATAACAGACATGACTGATTATTATTGGATATCCATTATGGGAAAATAATTTGTAAGCATTTCATAAGCTTTGCAAGGCATATAATCCTTAAAACAGCCAAACAAAATAATTTAAGAGTCACCAGATCTATCAGGGATTGATCTGGTGGTTATTTGTCTACTTCTCTGGTTCAAGTGAAAAGACTCCATGATTGGCAGTTGTTGAAGGGCAAACAATAGTTATTTGCCTGGTTATTTGTTTATAAACAGAGAATAGGAGATTAGAGAAAGCTGAAAATTCAGATCTGGTCGAATTTATATGTAAAGGTTTAGCATAGGCTCCACAGTATGAAAGTAATGTGCTTTTGGAATTATTTGTAGATTCTCTGCTCATGTGCAGTCCACCTTTCCTGGCTATAAAAGGAAGACTTATAATGTTAGTTTTTTAAGATCCATGAAAACACAAGTGAAATCTAATCATTTCATGAATATCTTAGTGATGTTTATTTATGGTACCATCTGGTATTTGTCATTTATTGCTTTGCAAAGTCGCTTGTCTCTGTGTGTATGCATAATCCTTCTGTCTTCAACGAGATTACAGCCTCTCTATGGCAGGCACTGTGTATTATCATTTCTGTCCCACTGTGTCTATATACATGCCTGATACTTAATGAATTTAAAGCAATTTGAATAATTAGAAATAATGTCTTTCACAGGGTTGACAGAAAGTAATTTCTTTGTAGTTCTGGTGGGGTTATTTTTAACATCCACTAGATCATGGGATATTTACTAGATCAAGAATTTTAGAAATTCAAAGAACATATAGCAAGATCCCTTTACTACACTCTATGTTGCTCTGTGTGTACTTGTATTTATTTCTGATAATGCTACACACAAGTGATTCTATATTGAGCATGAAAATGTATTTAAATTTAAATGAGTTAAGTAAGTTTCAAGTATACTATTAGAACCTAGTTTCTGATGTAATTAGAAATTAATATTAATTAAAATTAATATTTTTCTAACTATCCACATGAAATGAGCATAAAAATAATTAGGATCAAAATGTTTGCAAACCCTGCACTCAGTAAGGAGTTTGGATTCAGAATTTTAACTAGACATATACTAACAGTGGATTTATAGCCAGAACATATGAAACTCTCATTAAATTCAACAATATAAAGGTTTTATTGCCTAACAAAATTGTCAAAATATCCATATGGACTTTTTTTTCAATGATGGTATATGATTGCCCATTAAGCATATATAAATGTTATCTGTTTAAGTAGTCATTAGAAAATGCTAAAGTATTTTTCTACTGCTATGATTAAAATACCAGGACCAGGAGCAACCTTTAGAATAAAGGCTATGTTTTAGTGTTTGCTTACAGAGGGGAGGCCACAAGAGTGGGGAAAGAATATAACTGTCTGATCACATTTCATAAGCAAACAGGAAGCAGAAATACAAGCAAAGTGAAAGTCTTCAAACTCTCAAAGCTCGTGACATGCTTCCTCTAGCAAGGGCATGACACCTAAAAATTCCATAGCTTTCTTAAATAGTGCCAACCACTGGGATGCAAGTGTTCTAATACATGAATGAAGCTATAGAGAATCTTTCTCATTTAAACCACCACATTACTGTTACTGGTTCCATAGGCTCATTGCCATCTCATGATTCAAAATTCGTTTAATCCAATTTCAAAAGCGCCCATGGTCTTTAACAGTATCAGCAGTGTCGAAAAGTCCTACGTCTCTTCTGAGACAAAAGTAATACTAGTCCCCAGGAAATTAAAAAGGAAGGAAGGAAGGAAGGAAGGAAGGGAGGGAGGGAGGGAGGGAGGGAGGGAGGGAGGGAGAGAAATTACATCTAACATACAATGACACATATTATACATTACCATTCAAAAAGGAAGAATGGAGAAATACTAAGGAATGAATGGACCAAAGCAAGACTAAAACCCAACAGGGCAGACATCAATGGCTGTACTTCCATGTCTTGCATCTAGGGCTTCAGATTCAAAGTACTGAAATGACAACCGTACTTTAGATGGCACCCATCCTTGCAGATTTGCTGTCTGTGTTATACTTTTCTCTCTTGGAGCTGATTCTACTTCCTGCTTGTAGCTCTTCTTGGCAGAAGTCCCATGGCTCTGGCATCTGCAAAATTGGGAGTCTCAAGTAAACCAACAGCTTTATTCAGTAACCGCACAGGCCTCCTCACTAGGATGCCAACTCTGTTACGTATTGCCAGACCTCACCACCTGTTTGATACCACAGGACTAATCACTTCCTCAGTTCCACAGGAAGAACTCAAAATTCCCTCATATCTTTCATGTCTCCAAAATCACTACCACGTTGATAGCAATGTCAAACTTAGCTGACAGCTTAGTATGGATTTCCATACCCTTGGGATCAGCAGTTTTTATATGTTGTTTTTTCTAGGAGCATTCCTAAGGATTCCTCAAGTTCTTTCACTTCACGTGGTAAAGATTTAGCTGGATGGGGTCTTGCCCTCAGAACAATTCACCTCCTCCAATGGAGAATAAGAAGCTTTTCATTAGTGACATTAAGCTCCTTAACAATTACATCTTATTTTGCAGTCTATGCTTTAGGAAAACTCTTAAGATGTCTAGTGTCGTTTTCATCTCCAGGCTGCATATTTTATATTTATTTGTGCATCACTTGCTCTATATGATGGTAGATCTGCATAACAGTAATCAGTAATAACTACTCCAGAGACTCAATGTCAGGTGGCCTTGAAATCATTTATCAAAGAAATTAATTTTTTTAAAAAAATGCTTTTTAATTTAGCCTTGGGCAAGTTCTAAGGACATGTAGAAAATGAAGCCAGATTCTTTGCCAAAATATCTTACGAATGAATGTTCTCTAGCTCAGTCACTGATAGAGTTTTGTTGCCCTCTGGAAACTACTGATTTGGACCTACTCTATAGGCATCATATGTCAGGATTACACTCTTCCAGATTCTTCCTAGGCCAGTTAATTAAATTCTGCTTATAGCAGTCAAATATTTTTCTATTCCAGAGTTCCAAAGTCTTTCAAATCTCTCCCTCTCTCTCTCTATCAAAAAAAAAAAAAAACCAACCAACAAACAAACAAAAAACACCAAAAAAAACAAACAAATAAAAAACACTGCCAAGTTCTTAATAGCACAACCTTCATAGCACAAACGTGTCCATATCAGTTTTTTTTTTTTGCTACTATGTAGTTTTCTTTCTGTGCTTCCCAGTTTATAATTCCTTGCACAAAATGTGAACACCATGACCAAACGCAAATAACAGTAGAAAGAGTTCATTTTGATTTAGGGTTCTTGAACCCAAGTCCTCCATGAAACAGTAACCATGGCAGCAGCTGACAGGGCAAAGCCATGGTTGGTGAATTGCATTGAATAGGCACTTGGAAAATGAGGTGAGACAATAAACGTTCATAATCTTGCCCTTAGTCATATCCTTCCCCTTCATGACTGTACCTCCTCAAACAATACCATCAACTGGAGAGCAAACATTCAAATACATGAGCCTATGAGAAAATTTTCTCATTCCAACCACTTTGAAAATCTAGGAAGAAATGACAATAATATGTGGAAAAAATTACACATTGATATTTATGTGGAAAATAATATAGCCTCAGGAAAACAGTATTTTTTCTTTAAAGTAGTGTGCATAGTTCTATCATGTGAGCCAAAAAATCTATTTCTATGTATATAGAAAGTATGTCCACACAAAAATATGCATACCACATTCAGCATAGCATTTTCATAGTAGACAAAATGTAAAGTAGCAAAAGTGCTCACCAAGTGATAAATAGCTAAATGAATGTGGGATGCCCAATCTGTTCCTCAGCAATCAAAAGCCACAGAGTACCAAAAGCACCATTGCCTACATGAAAATTCAAGTCATCTTAGAGGTTGGAGAAGTGGCAAAGCATTTGAGAAGAGACAGATAACATACAGCTCCTAGAAAAGACCAAGTTCACTTTCTGGCACCCATGCCAGGTGGTTCACAACCATCTGTAACTCAGCCTCAGGGTATCCAATATACTCTTCTGGCCCTGTGGGCAACTACACTTATGTATATATACCCATAAGTAGATACACATGCCTATACATAATTGAAAAATGAACTAAAGCCCTTAGAACATCATACAACATGAAGCAAAAGACATATCATGTACAATTCCATTTAAGAGAAATTTCCAAAATAAGAACACCAAGATAGTGTGTGAATGAGGGATGGTGAAGGGGAGTTGGCTGTGACCATAATAGGCTATCATCAATGGTTGGTATTGGTTTTGGAGTGCTTTGGGAGTGTTGAAAATATATTAAATTAGTAAAAATGGATTTTCTGGGTTTTGTTTGTTTTTGTTCGAGATGAAGTTTTTTTGTATTTCCTTTGAAACTTAGAGTTCACCAGGTAGACCTCACTAGTCTCAGACTTGCTGTGGTCCTCCACCTTTGCCTCCTGAATACTGAGATTGCGTTTATGAGTCATTTCACCTGCCTTTCAAGTTTGCAAATATACTGAAATTCTTTACTTTAGGTACTTTATACTATTTGAATTATGTATAAATTGATCTGTGAATAGTGAAGTTATAAATCAGGAACTTAATGCCATGAATGCATGCTAGCTTGTCCATAGTGAAAAAAGGCGTAGCGACTTTGTTCTAGAGATTCCTGCATATAAGCAGGCTTTGCATAGTCTTTGCTTTTCTTAATATTTAAATATATTTATGAATCTCTGATTTTTAAAACGTCATGAAATAACAAAACATAAGCATGTTAGTGAATTCTCTTATATTTGTGCTATATTTTAAAAGTTATCATTAAATGGTGTAATAAGTCAGGGTAACGAATACAAGCTAACTCCTTTTTACCTATAAGGAAACTTGCTTTATTTCTTCTTGTATTTCCCCAGACGTCTCAATAATAATGAATTCACAGTGTTAGAAGCCACAGGAATATTTAAGAAACTTCCTCAATTACGTAAAATGTAAGTCATTTGTTAGCTATATGCTAGCTTTCTGCAGTGTCTTTCTTGTGAATTTTATATTTCTTTCCATTTTATCCAAGTCTCTTTTGAAATGGGAATATATATATAAAGTCAGTCTAGGGAAATTTCCATGTGAAGACTACGTGGGGCCTGAATCCAGGGTACTGTTTAAGAGGTACTTTTCCATGTGTTTACACAATGCCAAGCCAGCCCTTAGAATCTTTCTTTAAAGTAGACAGCTGGTCTCTAATGCGTCCACAGCGGGAATCCAGCAATCTAAGCACATTACAATGGGTTAACTGATGTTTTGTAACTTCCTTTACTATTCCCCAAACCATGGTGCTATTTCTCTTTCAGCACATTCATGTCAACTGTTTGACTTTTGCTTCATTAAGCTTTCATTATGAGATAGTCAAAATTAATGATTAGTAAACTTGCTGCTCTATTCATCTGTGTTACTTCATGTCCACAGCTCATATTTCAGAGTAAGGTCGTAAGCTCAGCGTTTTCCACAGCATTCCATCAGTAGTCCATGTCCTTGAGAAGAGTAAAGGGAGCGCCAGGACAAAAGTCAACTGTGCAAGGAACCGTAACACCCAGCTCACATGAGGAGGAAGCAGGAACCTTTTCCCAGGGCACTTATTGCCTTCTCTCTCACATGTATAGCTGCCACAGCCACTGACACTGTTTTTTTTTATTAAATTTTAATTATTTATTTATATCCCAAATACTATCACAATCTCGGTCCCCCCTCCCAGAGTTCTTCGGCCCACTGCCCCTCCCCTTCACCTCTGAGAGGATGATCCCTCTTCCCTCCCCCCAGCATCCTCCTTCCCTGGAGTATCAAGTCTCTACAGAGGACTGACACTGTCTTAGTGCAGATCTAACCTATCCCTGCATCTTTCACCTCTTCATTAGGCTACCTTGAAAACAACTTCTAATTTCTTGTCATCCTTTATACAAATGTCTACACTGCCTCTTTACTGATAAAGTGTTCAAAATAATGGATGTCTACTGAGCATTTACTATGAGCAGTGCTTTATAAGCATAAAAAAATAAACCACAAAACAGAATAATGAGATGGCTCCATTGGTAAAATGTCTCATAAGCACAAAGACGTAGGTTTGATCCTCACAGAAGAAAATTCAAATATGGTGGTCAGATATCCACGAGCTGGGAAGATACTGAAAAGTTAATTACTGGGGCCTGATGCTAAGCCAGAACAGCCTACAGAGCCACATAAAAGCGTTATGTAACCAACTAATCAGCCTCAACAATTTTAGACTCCTAGTGATCACAGCAGTTCATTTTGACCAGAATGTGGCTAGTATTTCTCTTTCAGGGTTCTTCTCTCTTGATGCCACTGACCCTCTAACTTGATAGTTTATAAAAATGTCTTGTCCAAGTCTTAGCAATACTGGCAGTGAAAATCCGGAGTTGTGGAAGACTTGTCTATTTATTCATTAGATTTAAAATGACCAGATACATTTTTGGAATGCTATATGCGGGTGGGCATCTGTGTATGATCTGTGCTTCTTTATCTAGCAACTTTAGCAACAATAAGATCACTGATATCGAGGAGGGAGCATTCGAGGGTGCGTCTGGTGTGAATGAAATTCTTTTCACCAGTAACCGTTTGGAAAATGTTCAGCATAAGATGTTCAAAGGATTGGAGAGCCTCAAAACATTGTAAGTATTTCTGACGCACATTAAAGTGGGTTAGCTTCACTGTACTTTATCATCTGGGGTGATAGGAGATTTTGACATCCCTCCTAGCACAGTGGCTCAGTATTTCAGACATAATCATTTGTACATAATGACTGTCTTCATCTAGATGCTACATTTAACTGTCCCTGTGATGTTTCAGTAGAAAAGAATCCATGATGATGTTCAACCCTTTAGTATCTACAACTAAGAAAACATGCTGAGGGATTTGTTTGGTTGGTTAGTGATAGGGAGCTTGGAAGGAATAAATTCTCATGTCTCCCAAATGTTGTTTATGTAGAGAAGACAAGACTTGGAGCAAATAGTAAATGCAACACTTTGTATTATTTAAATTCTCTCAGTGAATCTTTATAATAATGTTTGCCAAATGTAGTGACTCATAAACCAGATGAGAGAAAAACCAAATTCTAAAGTTGTGTTAGCATATAAAAGTATCTATTAGCAGTCAAGAAGCACCCCTTGATGTGGCAGTAAACAGGCTCAGGCAATGGCACCTCACCTAACCCTGAGAACTGTGTGTAATGGAGATGTTGGTAGTCCCTGATCTTTATGAGAGGAAGAGAGGGAAAGATACTTTTCTAGCTAGCTGGTTATGTTAATACCATCCCTAAATTAGGTCTGACAAAAAAATCCTCTGTACATTAGGATGGATGTTCTAATATTGCCCAGCCAGCCTGGAACCTAACAATCCAGCAAAGTCACGTGTCAATCGCAGAACTCTCTCAGGGACTAGTTTTGAATCACTCTAGAATGTTATACAAACAGTTGCTGAGCATGTCTTTGGGGGATATACTGAAAGTGTATTGAAAGATAACTAAGAAAATACGCCATAGGGCCTGCATCTTCACTTCCTTTACCTGTCTAAGATTATACAACAAAGGACAGAAATTCCCTTCTTCCACAGATGTTGAGGGTCTATTCATTGGTACTAGAAGTACTAAGGAGAAGGTAAGAACTTTATCCATATCAGTCCATCTGTGCTGCCACAGCACGAAACCACAGGCTGAATACTGCACACATCTCTCATGCTTCTGGATGTAGATATTCACCATGAAATTCAATTGATTTTTCAGCCCTCCATCTAGGCTACAGGCTTCTTTCTTGGCTAGTTTACTGCTGTAAATGCACATGACCTTCAGTCTGAATTCTTATGTAGATAAAAGAAGAGAAAGTACGATGTATGAGATCCCCAGGGTGTCTTTTTCTTTATATGTTTGTAAACATATAAAGACTCACTCCAAAGACAGTCAAATTTGGTGATAAGAGTTTCAAGGTGTGAATTAAGAGAGTCACAATTCAGTCCATAGTACCACCCCGGACAGCATTTTAAAGTATTTATTTTGAGTAGATAAAAAGGATACTGTCTTAAAGTTCTCTGAAGTCAGCTTTCTCCATTGTCCCTCTATGGATATGTTTCTCCTGTTTATGCTGTAATGCCTGAAAAAAAGAGCACCTACACACTATCTCCTCAGTGCAGTTGTTTCAAAAAGAATGGAGCAGTTGAGAGTCAAACTTGTGGTGTCCAGCTATTAGAGTAGATGTTTCTGGATCCATCCTTCTACATAGTCTCTGAGGTTTGGTATTCTGAACATTTGAATTCCTCAGCATTAGTAGGACAGTTAGTAATACATTTGCATATTTCAGGAAGTTATAAAATGTCCTGAGACATAAGACATCAGGCAAAGCTTGCTCTATGCATGTGCTGGTGAATTTTTTTTTCATGAGAGGAATTCCCTTTAATTCCTTCCAGGGTCCCATAACTCCAACAAGATGAAGCCCACTTATCTCTGTTATTCGTGACAAAGGAAATTGCTGCTAAGGATATGTGCATTTGTTTCTGACTCTCCAGTCATCTCTAGATAGGAGGGCATCATCTTTCATCTTATCTATGGCTTAGTGGAAATGGAATATTTTTAGTTTTTGTTTATTACCGAACATATAGTTTTGAAGCAACAATGTTTTCATCATTCATCATCTGTCTTAGAGTTAGTTGGCCATGATAAAATTCCATGACCAAAAGAAACTTGGGAAGGAAAAGATTTACTTTATCATACACTTTGAGATCATGATTCCTCATCTAAGGGAAGTGTGTGCATGAACTCCAGGCAGGTGTCTGGAGGCAGGCCCCTGCACAGGCCCCAAATGAGTGCTGATTGCTTGGCTTGCTGTTCATGAATTGCTCAGTCTACCAACCCATGAGTGGCACATGCCCACAGAGATCTCGGTCATCCCATACAACTCACCAATCAAAAGAAAATGCATCATGGGCTTGTCCACAGACCAATATTGTAGGGGCATATTCTCAACTGAGGTTTGATTTTTCCAAATGACTATGGCTTGTATCAAGTTGACATAAAACTAGCCAGCACATTGTTTCTCTTTTTATATTTGTCTCCTTCTGGTGGAGTGTGGAAAGATCAATAAATTAATTTTTCATGAGTTCTGAATAATATGTAATGCAACTACAAATTTGTAAATGAGGTTTCCTTCCTTCTTGAAAACCACCAGATAAACAGCTCAGAGAGGAAGGAATTGGGAACCAAGCCAGAGCTTTAGCAGCAGCGGGGAAATGACAACACTGTTAATCCTGTTAATGACAATGTCAAAAGTAGAGTTTATTCAAGGCCAACCTATTTAACCTTTGTTGTATATTACGTTTATTCCTTTGGGGAGTTCTGAAATTGAAACTATGAACAGATTTTTCATAAATAAAACAATCAGATGCAGGCTTGGTGGATGCTCGGTCACGCTTGACTCCCTCTGTTCCCGTCAGACAGTGAGTCACTAAGTCCCTCAGATGCCCTCAGCTCTCCATCTGCAGTGTCTATTGATTCTTTCTTCCCTTCTTCTTTTCCATCTCAAATGTCATACTCTTCTGAATACACAAATCACTGGGCTCCAAGAACTCAGAGTAGGTGACTGAGGACATGATGTGATCAGGCAAACATAATTATATCATCAAAAGAAAACATGTTCCCCTCATCATGGGACTGTAAATCTCCACAGGCTCACCATGCTTTCTGTGGCTTAATAAAGGCACTGGTGAGTCTATGCATTCTATTCTTCCAGGATGGCTTCCAGAATATAGCCATCCCTGGGGAAAAGACATTCAAAATAGTAACAAATGCTGCATATTTGATAAAGGGATGATTTTGATTCTCAGAGAGGCAAAATTGAATGTCTGATATTTTATCTCCAGAACAATGTCTTTTTCCTTTCCCCAGGATGCTGAGAAGTAATCGAATAAGCTGTGTTGGGAATGACAGTTTCATAGGACTCGGCTCTGTGCGTCTGCTTTCTTTATATGACAATCAAATTACTACCGTTGCTCCAGGAGCATTTGATACTCTCCATTCGTTATCTACACTGTGAGTAGAAAAGCATTACCTCCATCCAGTGCTTCTCAGACTCCCGAATGCTGTGACACAGTTATACTCTTCTTCAGGTTGCAGTGACCCCCAACCATAAAATTATTTTTGATGCTACTTCCTAATTTAATTTCGCTACTGTTGTGAATCATAATGTAAATATTTATGTTTTCTTATGGTCTTTGGTGACCCCTGTGAAAAGGTCCTTGAACCCTTCAAAGTGGCTATGATCTACAGGTTGAAAAGTGCCGCTTTTATCTATGACTTTCAATAGTGTATTATATTTCTTACCTTTAGTAGTAATTTTTAATTAATTGCTAAACATTCTGTAAAACTTGACCTTGTATTTAGGCATCTACGAAAGGACAAACTTATGTTAGTCCTGCTTTAATTTTCCTAAAATTAATACCATCTTTATTACATAAAATTTGATATACATAGTATTTTCAGCTAGTTATTTTTTATAATAATAAAAATATATCTTAAATTTTTAACTATAATTTAAATGTATAATTATAAATGATTCTGACTTGAACAAGTAAATGTCACAGATTTCTTCTCATATTCTAAATAGTAAACATTGTAACATAAATATCATAAAAACAGATTGATAGAGTTATTACCAACCAACTACACTCCAAAAGAAGCATTCTTGGTGACAAGCGATATATAAAGATGAACAGATTGACAGTAAAAGCTATTTACCAGAGGCCATTTACTATGACTTTGCAAAATGTTGAAGGAATGAGTAGAGCTTATCTCAGAGCATCTATTTTAAGTAGACAACTTGAAACTTGAGAATGGTTCTATGTCTACAAACAGAACACTAAAAATCCTTAAAAATAAACTTTAAACAATACATTTCAGGCCTTTTGTATGTCAGTTTCTCAACAAGATATTTGCTATTACGGCTCTAATAACTGATGATTTCCCTGTCACAGCAGTTTCTAAATGCTAACCTAACAAAACAGAATGGGAATAAACGATAGTTATAACAGTTGCATAAGCATGTCTGGGGTTGCTTAAGTCATTGAAACAAAGAAAGAGAAGCAAGCATCCATCTATCAGTAAAGTACTTAATACCTGTTCCACAAGAAGTGTGACATTTCACATGGTGAGACGAATTTGTGCATATTAAAGATGACATGTTTATAAATAATAGGAAAATAGGTTTGTGCTTAAGTATGAAATGCCAAAAATACTGAGATTTGTAGAAGTAAATTCATTTTTATAACTGGTATTTAATCAGTTCAGCTGTCAGTTTAGATAGGAATGCTATTCTCTGGAGCAAACAAGAGATGGAAATCTTGAGATGACAAATTACAGGAATAGCTGTTGTCAGGTTAAACTCAATAATATAAGGTAATCAGCGTTCATCTTTATATTAAATTACTGCTTTATCAGCACAGGAGAGTTTGACAGTAAGATCTCTGACATGTTTAGATTATTTATTAAGTGAGGTATCTATCAGAATCCACTGCATATACCCCAAATTGCTGCCTTCATTTTTTTTTGCATGAAGTTATTCAAAGAATTCTCTTATGAGAATGTATTGTCTTTTAGTTCCAGACATACACATTTTGGAAAAAAAATATGCATGACATATGTTGTATATGATTGTGTACATATAGGGAAATGGGCATACAAAGACTAGGGGGGAATCACTGTAACCAAAATAATGTGAAGAAATGATCACCTAGCATATAGAAAAAGAAGAAGATTAAGTCTAAACTGAACTTTGCATTGTTTGCATATGGTGCTTAGAAACCTCTTGGCCAATCCTTTCAACTGTAACTGTCACCTGGCATGGCTGGGAGAATGGCTCAGAAGGAAAAGAATTGTGACAGGAAATCCTCGATGCCAAAAACCCTACTTCCTGAAGGAAATCCCAATTCAGGATGTAGCCATTCAGGACTTCACCTGTGACGATGGTAAGAAAAGCACAACAAATCATGGGTCTTAGGTCTTCATTCACAGGACCAATCAGATGTTCTTTTATCCAGGGGAGCGTGCTTCCATTAGTCTGGTAGGACAAGGTAGAAACAAGGCTCATGGTCTGGCAGAAATCTTTTTAAAAACAGCTCTCATGTCATGGTCCAATTCACATCTAAGCCACTGTGCAGTGTTCTTTGTAGCTTGGTTCTTTGTTCTGATAAGCCAGGCACTTATTTTTCTGAGGTTGACATTTCACATTCAAGTCTACCACATGCCTACTTGTAAATATTCTAGAAGACTTCTAAGCTCCTAACTTGTGAATGGTACTCGTAATTTTAAACTTATTTTTCTCAGTGTGTCTTTTAGAAGCTACTGTTTCCAAATGAGAAAAACAAAACAAAAATCCATTATAACCTAGAAGTTCTATTCAAATCAACCATAGTCAGTCTCCCCTCTCTCATGCGCTCGGCCATTGCTTTCATGCTCTCTGTAGTCCTATGAGGTGGGAAGAGCAAATTCTGTGACTATTGCCAGTGAACAGGGATTTAACTGAAATTCAGCATTTTTAACAAGAGGCATTGATGTGATTCTAAACATTTGAAGGTAATCTGCCCCTTGGGTCCATCTCTTTACAACTTCTTAATCCAGTTTATAGTTGGATATCCTGATTGAAAACTGTATAAACAACTGAACAAATAATCACCTATTAAAATTAAAATTATGTTGGTAGTATAAAAATGTGAGCTATTTTCTGAAATTCAGCCTGTGTCCAAAATTAATGCATACATAATGTGAATCTGTAAGTACGTAGTGCTTTATACATAAGAGATACATTTTTATTTACATAGCACAAGACCCTTTTTTTGTTAAATTTGTCTAAACATGTAAACTTCATTCTAGTCCCTTCTAAACTGTGAATCTGTCTGTGTTTTTCTGTACTTTCCATGGTGATCTAGGAAATGATGACAATAGTTGTTCTCCACTCTCCCGTTGTCCTTCGGAATGTACCTGCTTGGATACCGTGGTACGATGTAGCAACAAGGGCTTGAAGATCTTGCCTAAAGGTATTCCCAAAGATGTCACCGAGCTGTAAGTAGTTTGTTCTCCTTGTTTCCTTTCTGTCCCTCTTATTAAATGCAGTGACAAAACCAGCATTATGGGAGATTCACTTTACTTACAACTCCATCATTACAAGAAAATCAAGACAGTAACTAGAAGCAGCTAGTCACATCAACAGTCAACAGTAGAGAGAGAATGAATTTCTATAGGTTAATTTGTATCCAGTGCTCGGTCTATACTTCATAAAGTCTGGGAATCAAATCTAGGGAATGATACCACCAATAGTGGATTTGGTCTTCCCAGAATATTAATGTAATTAAGACAAGCCTGGACCAGACAGTCTTACATTAAAATTCTATCCTAGGTAATTCTAAATTTTGTCAATCTGGATTTTAAAACTGTCTTAATTTGTTTTGCTCTTTCCTAGACAACTAATGTTTTATACATCAAGGGGATAAAGACCTAATAAAAATATTTAGGATCCTTTTTACAGGTCACATTTCCATACCTGCTTAATGAATATAAAGTAAATTTGTAAAGCAATAATGCAAAAGTCTCTTTAGAGAACTTGGAGAACTGATGATTGGATGTATTTTCCTTTTATCAAAATAAGATTCCTTGGTGCCTTTGTTGGATTTTCTGTGGGTAATATGCTCCAATAAGGACAGTAAAACATTATATAGATCCTGAACTTACTGCTTCTCTCACCCCTCATTTTTCATGGAGTATTTTACAAGACTAATGTTCTATCAAATACAGTTTGGGAAATGTTGCACAGTTAATTTATTTTCAATGTCTAGTGAACACTACATACTTAAATAGCCTTTTCTATGACTTTGGGGACAATATTTAACCCTATAGGATAATAATTAACTGGGAATTAGAAGAAACTGGCAGAATCCTTGTCTTTTAAAAGGGACATTATCTTTTTTGAATCAGTGTCCTTTAGATCCAAAAGGACATGTGGCCAGTTATCTTTGATACTTGAATAGTTAATATTTAAATACAAATTCAATGACCAATAGCCATATAAATAGACCTACAGAAGTCAGACCTTCAGCTCATGGCTGCATCCAAGCCATGTTTCCAGAATGAAAAGAAAATCAGATGAAATCATCAAGATGCATGGACGTCAGTTTTATTCAAAACCTTTATGTCTAAACAGGAATTTGATGGGAAAATATTTTACCTGAGTCAAAGTGAGTTGGTTAGTCTTTGTTTAATTTTTGTTTCTATGGAACAGTGTTTTAAATTTGCATGTGGTCTCTATAGATACATGCCTATAATTCATGGAAATGATTGTAAGGAGTTCACATGATCCACTTTTACCATTTGGGCAGTATGCAACATAAGCAATGAGGTTAAAGAATATGTTACTTATTTCCCCTTAGGCTTTAGGCTAAGATCAAGTGAAGAACGTGTCTCTTAAGTTTTCAAGCATCTCATTTTTCAAGTCATGTTCAGTTCATGGATCCTATTTTGGTGCTGGGTTAAAACATTCAGACAGTACACAATCTCAGCAAACAGGAATGTGTTCCTTAGAATTGAAATGCTGTTAACTGGTCAGTTTTTTTTCTCTCCTACCAAACACACTAGAGATAATTGACTATCAGCACTATGTTTTAGTATGTTTCATTAAACAACTGTTGCTTTAATATTTCTTCAGATGATCATATGGGTCTATAGCCCTTCCCCACTTCCTATTATAAACCTGTATTCTGTATGCAAAGTGAAAGTTTATAAGTAGCCCAGTATGGGACATAGCATCCATGTCCTCTTTGATGCTAAATACTTTCCTTTTCCATTTTAACTGACCTTTTGTTTTTACTCATCCACAAAAGTTAAATGTTCTTTAATTTCCATGTTAAGCTTCATTTCCTGATTCACCCTATCTATACCAGAGATGCATTTCTTTTCTTACGTTGAGTCTTCAGTTCACATCACTCCAAAACTCATTTTCAAATAGTTTTAATTTCCTTTCTGTGAAGAATAGTTTGTTCTATATAGATCAGGAGAAAATTAACTCATCTTTGAAATTCAAGTTTCACCTCCCAGAGAGATTATTCTTAGAATCTAACCAAGTCAGCAAGACCCTTCTCTCCAGTCATACATACTCATATTGGAAAATGTGTGTTGTGTGTATTACATTAAATTATTAAAGAATTTGGCAACACAACCATGTATTGGTGGACAAGTTGAACAAATGATATCCATTAGTTGTAATCAGTTCCATATACGTTCCCTCTTACACTGCTTTGCAAGTAGATGTGCAGGGTGTTCTTCGGAGTCTTTTTGTCCTGCTGCAACATTTCTGGGCTAAAAGGAATGTTGCCATCCATGGTACACTGCTTCCCTCTAGTGGTACCAAGAAAAACTTAGCTACCATAAATAGGGAAAGGAAATGGGCAAAAGTAAAATATGTATCAGAAAATTTGAGGACTCATCAGAAGTTATATGGCAATGTATAACCTCATGTGAACCACATATTTACAGCCTATGTATTTTATACATCTGTGTACATTTTGAAGTATTATAGATTTTTTATCTCAGGCAACTTCCTGCCTTTTCCTATAAACATTAAAATTCCGATTTAAGACTGAGGTTTCAAGAATGACTACTTCATTGGAACACACACACACACACACACACACATACACACACACACATCTTCAGTGTTTCACAGTTGGTATCAGCTGTACCTCTGGGCAGATGACCTAAGTGCTTGAGACTCTTGTATTATGTATTGTCTAGGAAAGGAAACTTTGAAAAGAGAATTTTTTTTTCTTTTTGTAGCATCATGGATCTGACTCCCAGCATTTATTTATTTTTATATCCTGTGAATCACTATTTTTTTTGTAACTTGCCTATATTCTGACCCTAATAAGATAGACAAAATGTACTTTTAATTGAAAAATTCTTTTGCATTCACATGCTAATTTTTGTATACCTGTAAATTTTTGTCATTCTATGAAAGCTCTTGAGCCCCCTATGACACTAAATCTACTACCTTAGAGATATATCTAGTTGTACTCAAAAAATCTCTTTAAAACTGTTCATTGTTATTTAGCAAATGTGTTGAGATACATATATAGCATGTAATGAAAAGAATACTTAAAACTGGCCTTGCTTAATTGAAGAATTCTTCAATTTCATGGTGTTGTCCCTATATAAACACAAAGAAACTGGTGGCCATTTAAATGTAGAAGTTATTGGATAGACCTTCATGCTGATAGAAAAATGGCTAGATACTTTGCTTGCTTTTTGACTAAACCACAAAAAATTGAACTCACCCTTCTGTACTTAGCTATATGCATTAGCCTAAGTGAGCCACAGAGAGTTCTACTAAATTGAACTACTATGTAATTTGCCCTTTACTTGTCTTGAATAATGATTTTGGCCTGGAATATGATCTCAAGGAAGACTGCCAAGTTGTTCTTCATCTCTGTTCGAAGCAAATATTGGTCATTTGTTTTGTGATTTCCCACTGTTACTTTGTAAGATGCCCTTGTTCTGTCCTCGTCCTTAGGTATCTGGATGGGAACCAGTTTACACTAGTCCCGAAGGAACTCTCTAACTACAAACATTTAACACTTATGTGAGTAGAATATTTTCACATTGTTATGTTATTTTATTTCATTAAACTGGGAATGGCAAGACCCAGAAGCTTTAGAGAGCCTTTTACATAGCATAAATCACTTACAGTGACCTGCTTCTCTGCTAGATCACTGTGTGGTTCAGGATCACGGGCTACATCACTGTTGAATATCAATCAGGTGATGCGGAGCCTTAGGAAAAGCTCCTCTAGCCAAAGAAGCAAAGAGAATAATGTATAAGTAGTTAAAAAAATGTATTCAGACAGTAAAACTGGATGCTTTAATGATACAAAAAGAGTCTAATTGTTAGAAATCATAAAGATAGTTGGGAAATATTTTATTTTATACAGCAAACAAAATGTGGTCAAAACTTTGCTGAACATATATTTTTTGCTTGACTTTGTTATGTAAAACATTTTTAAAGTAATTTAGGGTCCATAAATACCAAAGTTCATTATATGCGAGAGTTTGTATCCTAATTAAGCTAGACAACGATCTTGATATTCTGAGTATATATTTCAAAATGCTTATTCTGAGTATATATTTCAAAATGCTAATTCTCTGTTCAGATTAGATTTTTGTCTTCGGAAAATAACTCGTTTCCTTTTCAGTGAATGAAATGATTTTATGATGATAATTTGAATGTAAAACACAGAGATAAAAACACAGAGATATTTAAATCTATAAACAAACTGATCTAGTTTCACACATCATTTTAAAAACAGACCTAATCCTGTTACATATAATTTCCCACGTTTGCATAGACTTGCTGGTGACTGAGAACACTTCAGAGCACGTAGAGAAATTATGAAAATATAAGGGATTTTAATGGCTATACATTATCACTAGTTTTAGTTTATTTATTTTCTAGTTTGAGAGGCAGATTGTTAAGTTTCCTAGAACAAGCCTTATTACTAATTAGTGAGTTTCAAAAAGTTCAAGAGAAGGAATTGTTACATAATCTATGTACATTTTATCTCGGTGCACTGAGGCAAGTGAAGATACTGTCTCCATTTTCCATGAAATATGGTAAATCCAAATAGAAATTATCATAGACCCATGTAGGTGACAAATGGCCTAAGTAAGGAAAAAAACTACTTTGACCATACCTTTTTCTATTGGTAGCAAGAAAAAGTCTTTTTAACTAACCTTATGAACTAGCTGGGATTTTCAGAAGGTAATTTTAACAGCTTTGGAGCATTTATGGGAGAAAACGTAATTACTTATAACAAATTAAAAATGAGATTTCTGGTTCTAGAAATTTTTATTACCACTGACCCATTATATAAGTATATTTTTATAAATATGTGCTATGTTTTAAAATTTAGATATGAAATTTCAACATCTAAAATATGGATCATAAGACTCCTAAGTTCCTATCATTTTCATAATTGTCAGTGTCTATTTTACTCATATTTTGGAATTTAAATACAAGAATAGTTGACCTTTATATCATACTTAACTTCCCTTTATTCATGTGTTAAATCTTGGTCCAGAAAAAAAACATAGCTAGTTATAATGTTTACATATGTATACACACAGACAGACAGATAGATAGATAGATAGATAGATAGATAGATAGATAGATATAGATATAGATATGTGTTAAATTACATATATGAATATGTGTGAAACTACATATAATGAGAAAATGCTAATTCACATAATATATTTTATGGTTAAAAATACAAAATGCATTCTGAAATAGCCAACTGGCAACATCCAACATCTTTACTTATTCGTTAAATAAATATTTATTGAGAAATTTCTGAGTCTCAGTGACTTAGGCACAGACCAAATCACAGGTGTTCTTATGATGACAATTTGAAGGTAACTAATTCAAGAATTGTTCCAATTAGCAAATTTGAATTTGTATATTAGTGGATATATATGTCAAAGGAGGTTACAGAATGGAGAGCTAATGGAACCATAAGGATTGGTGGTTTATTCCAAACCCTAATAATGAGTGGTCTGTTATTCTGGTTAATAGTAAGCTCGCTGTCTTCACTTTTCTCTTTTAGAGACTTAAGTAACAACCGAATAAGCACCCTTTCCAATCAAAGCTTCAGCAATATGACCCAGCTTCTCACCTTGTAAGTGTGGTACTGAATATTCACTTACTCCTGGGGCGAGAAGGGTTTGTTAGATGTTCCTGGAGAACAGGGTGAGTCTGTCATCTTATGGAGTGTTAATGCCATCTAGAGAAATAGAAACAATGAAGATAAAAGTTACTTAAAATATTAGGTTTAGCTTAAGCTATACATACATGAAACGGGCAGTAGTTATAAAAACGCAGTCAGTCTGGCTTGTTCCCGAGCAGCCTCCAAGTTCCTGCTGCTCTGGCTCTTACCGCAGCTCCAACTATCTAGAAATACCTGCCCTGGCACCCACGAGACTCCAGTGTGGTGGTTGGCTCTGCCGATTCACCACGCTGTCCCCGCAAAGCTCAGATGAGCCGCAGACAATATCCGCCATCCTTGCATCCTTGCGGTACCTGGTAGAGTGAAGACTCTTAATGCTTAAAGATTATCCAGTAGATTTATATATTTGGAAATACTCAATTAACAAGATGCTCACATAATTAGAATTGGTACCCAATTATCTAACCTAGATATTATAACTACCTTAGACTGCTAGAGACACGTGTATATCCGCCTCCAACTTCTCTCCTCCTCCTCTTCTCCTTCTCTCCTCCCCTTCCTTTCCTTCTCTCCTCCAAACTCTCCTTCTACTGCCCAACCACTAAGCTCCACTGCAAACACAATGTAGCAGAATAAATATCCTGCTACACATACACAAAATATTTTTTTAAGATCATGACACATTTGTTAGAAATCCTTAAATTAAGCTTTCAGGGTGTGTTGGTCAGTGTTTTATTGCTGGGAAGGGATACCACGAAAACAGCAAACCTTTACAAAGGAAAGCATTTAGTTGATGCAGAGAGAGGAGGGGGGAGGGGAGGGGAGGGGAGAGGAAGGGAGGGGAGGGGAGGGGAGGGGGAGGAGGAGAGAGGAGAGGGGAGAGAAGGAGGAGAGGGGGAGGGGGAGGGGGAGAGGGGAGATGGGAGAGACAGGGGAGAAGGAGGAGAGGGGGAGGGGGAGAGGGGGAGGCGGGAGAGAGGGGAGAGAAAGAGAGTGTGTGTTTGGGCTTAGAATGCGTTTTTTGAAACCTCAAAGCCAGTGACATACTTCCTCCAACAAGGCCACCTCCTATTCATTTCAAATAGTGGCACACGCTGGTGACCATATACTCAAATATATGAGCCTATTGGGGCCATTCTCATTCAAATCACCACACAGGGTATGATATCTCAGTCAGAGAATGAGTGAGGCATATGTACACAGTAGGAAAAAATTTAAGTCATATTTAGGTACTGCCTCATAATAGAATTAAAATACATAGATGAGCAATATAAATGATATATAAATACATTCAATTCATAAATTGTTCAAATAACTGTTTTCTAAACTGACATGCTTTAAAATAGCATTTGTATATTACTAGATTCCCAAGTTAGATAAACTGACATGTGTCCATTTTCAGAATTCTCAGTTACAACCGTCTGAGGTGTATCCCTCCACGGACCTTTGATGGATTGAAATCTCTTCGGTTACTGTAAGCATCCTGTATTCAACAATCACATTTCTTGGGGATCTGAGTTATGGGCTATCCTTTGGATGATCTGGTCACTTTGTTCTTGGCTATTTCATGATGTTTGTGTTACAGTTTACTGTAAATTTGAAATTGGGTCAATTGTCTCCTATGGTTTCATTGTTCAACCACTTTGATTAAGACAGCAGAACCTCCTCTTTTGTAGAACATGTTACTGTGGTAGTCATCTATTGTTATATATATTATAGTATATATCAATATATTTAATAAGTATATTGATGTGTACAATAATAGTGACATATACATGTCACATAACTCCAATTATTTTATGATAAAATAAGAAAACTTATTTTCTTTAGAAACCGTATTATACTTGAGTATTTTTTTTATGCAATGAATTTGTTTACTATATTCTTCCAGGCTTTGCTCTTTCTGTTTATTCTTATATCCCAATATATGTATTCCCACAGTTATATAACTCTTAACAATATATGTATTCCCACAGTTATATAACTCTTAACAATATATGTATTCCCACAGTTATATAACTCTTAACAGTCGTGAGTAGGATCCTATCTTGTTCTTCCGTTAGCCACTTTAAATAACATTTTAGTGTGTTTTTCTTTTACCATGTGTAGCTGTTTGTCAATTGTTTCCACGGAATCGGCCTTAGATTGAAGAAAATAACTTTGCTAACCATCCCCATGCACTCTATCGTTTAGATTAATGGAAAACTCTCTTTGTTTCTTATGACACTCAAATGAGCCATCTATGATTTTATCTTGGTGTAGATGTACTAACCTGAAAGTGGTGGTGTAGAAGGGGCTCCCTTTTATCAAGCTATATCCATGATATGAGGATAGATCCAAAACTGTCAACTTGTCTTCCAAGCAATATTTTGTGAATTAGTTCCTTCTATTTTCCAGTAACAGTTTAATAGAGTGTCCTTTCAAAGTACTTTTGTAAGCTTCTCATATTAGGGTATGATTAATCCTTTTACTTTGCTATGACAGACTGAAAATTGGTTGTTTTTTTAGTTTTTTTTTTTTTTGGTTTTTTGCTGCTTTAACTTGTATTTCAAATGGTTGTAGCATTTGAGTCCTTGTATGCTTACTGAGCATTTGCAGTATGTGTTCTAAGGAAGCCTGATTGCTTCATTAGCCATGATTTATTTGATACTATTTTCATTATATAGTACAACATCTGTACAATTGCTATTGATTTTAAATCTTTTAATTAAGGATTTAAATGTTTTATCTTTTGTAGTTATATTTACCATCCACTTTCTTGCACACAGCCTCTCAGCAATTACTTTATTTTGTAAATTATACCTTGTAGAATATTTTATACTCTTTTCTTTCTAGTTTCTGAGATTTATATTATACAGTTGGAAGTTTCCCTCATTCTATGATCATATAAACAACATATTTATAAGGAATTGCTAATTTCATTTTACATATACAATTTATTTTATGCAGATGATGTGAGGTATGGACTGGCTTTTGTTTTTCTAAATAGATATCTGTTGTTCTCACATAGTTTATTGACTAGATTTCCTTCTTCCACTGACGTCAGTGTTTAATAAAAATGAAGTCCTTCTACATGTAGAACTATTATTCGGAACTTTCTCTCTTTAGGTCTCTACATGGAAATGACATTTCTGTCGTGCCAGAAGGTGCCTTCAGTGACCTTTCAGCCTTGTCACACTTGTGAGTACCTGGCTCAAGGTTGTAGTGCTGGGGTCAGATGCTCTCTGATTAACATATTTGCACTAGTCTTCTACCTCTCTTTTTTTGTAACTATGAGCTATGCTTGATGTGATCTTCAAAGAAAATGTACCAGGTTTCAAACTGGAAACCTTGCTGCCTACAAGTAAATTTTAGTCTAGTCTTGGGGCTGGCAGTCTTCATCAGGTGGGTGGTCGTGTTTCAGATAGACATGCCTTTTATATGAAAACAGGTCTCCAGCCTCACTCCACTTTTCTCTGACTCCTCTCTGACTCTCACCCAACTCTACTTTCCAAAGCTGTGTCCCATTTCAGTTCCTCCATGAATCATACACCAATTTGCTTAAACTTGATTCATTTATAACACAAATATTACTTAGCATTGGCCATGGTGCTATGTTACATTCACATTGACACCACTGAATATTGTAAAATCTGATAGTGCTTTGTGACAAATTTATTTGTATGTACTCTCATTTCTACCTCCATAATTACAGCTGTAATAAAAATGGAGGTAGAAATGGATTATATACATATATAAAGACATATATATTTGTATATATGAATATATAGATTGTATTTATATATTCACTAATTTTAAATTATATAGATATAATGCATGTATATACATTTTGTATATACATATATGTATATATGAGTACATATACACACAAAATTAGCACTAATATTACTAGATGTAATATTAAGATATCTCAAAACTAGAAGAAAGAAAAGAAGTCTGTCTAAGACTGGAAAGCCGCCCTTGCATGATGATAAATTTGGGCCACCCAATAGCAATTATCTGGTTCTGTCTAGATGTCAAAGCCAGTATGACCTCAATAAAATTCACAAGAATTAAAAAAAAAGAATTTAGAAAATACAGAAATAAAGACAGTGAAAGAATAATGTCCTCTAATTAGTCATGTTCGTCTGAATTTGCTTTATGGAAGCTCTGGTGTATATCCATTTATCAGACAGATACCTCCAATTCATAGTCATGCCATTAGACCAGAGGCTACAGGAGGAAAGAACTGTACCATTTGATCATTGAGCCTCAGCATCTACCTCACAAAAGGTCCATATCAAGAGCTCTCTTGCAAACTCATGGCCTGTTTGTGAGATACAGTATGAAAAAAAAAAAAAGAAAAAAGCCTGTTAATTTCATGGGTGTGGTTGCTGCTGTCTGAGAGAAGGCTCCAGAAAGGAGGAAGTGGATTTAGGGTCATGGATCAGAGAGGGCAGCACAGCATGAGTCCTGCTTGACCTGAGGGACCAGTTCATTATGTGACTCTCCCCACAACAGTGGCCCAGTTCAAAGGTCCTCTGTCATGTCAGGGCTCAGCCTTGCCTCCCTGTCACACATTTGTTTTCCACTCTGTAGATCATAAACAGCTCTTCTTATTCACTTCTCTCCTTCGATTCAGAAGGGCATTGCAAAATGTCAATGGAGAGGAAGGAAGGCTCGTGCTTTGATTTGAACTGTTTCAGACTGACATATACACAAAGGAAACCCTGCATTGTGATGCTGGATAAAATTTGTACATTGATTTGTACAATATAAGGTGTTATAATTTTGCAAGTATATTTTAGAGGGTTCCCTAGATTATGATTCAATTACATACCTCAATTGCTAATCAGAAGGTAGTTTTGAAAATTTACTTCACATACCTAGTAGCTCTGTGTCCAAGCATGACAAGTTTATGAACCTACTAATCAATAATAACTTATTATTAATATTAGACTCACATATTACTTAAAGAAAATAAAGTACTTAATAGAAATGGGTTAGCACAGGTCTAGCAAATTGAAATGATGAAAAAAATGCTATCTGCTTCCCTTATGACTCTTCCATTATTATTACTGTTTATGTAACTAAATACAAGATTGTAAAATGACATATCGTTAGAGGTGCAAATTAGCACTGGAAAATGGACTTCATTTGCCTTTAGAGTCCTTTTTCTGAAGTAACAACCCTAAGGTTTGTCACCTAATTAATTATCCCAAGTAGTGGAGACTTTCATACCCACCAGCACTTCACAGAGACGTCAGCTGCTCATTCACAGACATCTTGTGTTCCTGTTATGTAACTTTTCCTGAGGATGACTTGCGTTCATCCATAGGCCAGTCTACTTAGAAATGTGAGTTCACTGGGGTGGGGGTGGGGTTTTAAGAATGAGTCCCTGTTCCTAGTGGCATCCTGAGACTGCTGCACAGTAACCAAGTTCTCAGTAAACAACTGGGAAAAGCAGGAAGTGCTAGGCTGCCCTGAGGATGTACTTACATCCAAGATAAATGTGTCTTTCTGAGAATGGAGCAACCCTGTAAAGCCCAAGAAACTGTTAACATTATTTATCCCAGCCTCACAAAGATAAGGAAAGTGGGAATCTGCAGTTTCTCCATTTTCTTCTAAATTGTTGGCATAAACAAACTCATAGGGATTTTCTACTGAGCATCACTGTGAATCTTTTCTGTTAGGAAATAACAATACTTCCATACTTGTGTGTGTGTGTATGTGTGCTTTTGTGATGTTCTTTTTCCAGAGCGATTGGAGCCAACCCTCTTTACTGTGATTGTAACATGCAGTGGTTATCCGACTGGGTGAAGTCGGAATATAAGGAACCTGGAATTGCCCGCTGTGCTGGTCCTGGAGAAATGGCAGATAAATTGTTACTCACAACTCCCTCCAAAAAATTTACATGTCAAGGTATGGCTTCTAATTATTGGCATGACTTTTGAAAAACTACCTACTTTAATCACCACAAAAGTGGCAGTATCTTGTGATTAGACTTCAAAGGTCTAGTTGGGAAAGAGTTTATGTTCTTGGTCAATCTTCTTGAACAAGGTAAGCTATTTCCTGTGGTTCCCAATTTAACAACTGGGCTTTTCAAATTCATCTTAGACCCATTAGAAGGAATAGGCCTTCTTGAAAATATAGGTAGACATGTACAAACTGAAAATGACTTTTTTAGTCTCTAACCAATTAAAATGTTTTACTTTTGCTTTATCTAATCGTGGCCCTGGCTCTTAGGGCTCCCAGGGCCCTGTGGCTTCCTAATCCCAGGTAAGGAGAACCAAACCAAGCCTCCCATTGTTCCAGCTAGGAATTCCCAATCCCCCCCTGTGTTGAGATTTCCTGTGTGAATACCCCCTCATTCTTGTTTTTACTCCTGTTTCTTCCCTAACTTGACCCTTTGTTGATGCACTTGTAGATTCTAAATAGTATCTTCATAATAAATATAATTTTATTCTCTCATTCTAAGAATAGTTGATGCGAACATTCATAGTATAAATAGGAAAAATCTAATTGGGGAAATGCAAACAGTAATTATTTTTTTGCAAGAATAAATAGAATGAACCATTAGTCACAATATATAGACGTCATTCCTATAGGCTTATATAATATTCCCTACAGGGAAACCAGATATGTGATGTAGCTAGTAGTTTTTGTCATTCTTCTTAACTTGCAGATATTTTAAAAACCCACTCAGGTTTACTAGAGAAGAAAAATTATTGATACTTCTAAATGTAAAATCAGAAGATATAAACCTTAGATATTATGCAGTACAGAGCAATTTGCACTATGGTCAGTCCTTCCTACATTTGCATACACTGCCAACAAACACAAGTTTCTAAAACTTGATCATTTATTCAGGAAAAATTCATACTTAAGTAAGCAATTCTGTATAATTGCCTACCTCATTACCAGTTTGGCTGGTTAAATTCACAGCTTAATTTTCCATGACTTAGGAAAACCTAATTTCATGGCTTAACCAACTGTGCCTCAGTTTCCTCCTGAGTACCAACATGAGAGTACTAGCATGAAAGACATGGTTAAACAGGGCTGGGGAGATGGCTCAGTGGTTAAGAGAACTAACTGCTCTTCCAGAGGTCCTGGGTTCAATTCCTAGCAACCACGTGGTGGCTCACAACCATCTGTTATGGGATCCAATGCCCTCTTCTGGTGTGTCTGAAGACAGTGACAGTGTACTCACACAGATAAAATAAAAGATTAAACAGGTTGACAAGGATGAGGATATAGTTGGTCAAGTGTTTGCCTTGAGAGAACAAAGACCTGGGGTTAATCTCTAGAACACACATAACACACAAAGCAGAGGCATGGTAGCACTTGATTTTAATCCCCAGATCTGGTAAAATAGATTCCCAAAGCTTATTGGTTGTCTAGCCTAGTATACTTGTCAAATTCTGGAATAATGAGAGACCCTTTCAAAACAAAAGAGGAGGCTAACTGGAGAAAATTTGTCACTAAATTCTGTGGTGTCATGATCCATATCTTGCTGCAGTAAACATGAGAACCACAGTTTGGACCCAGAGTGTTGGATTAAAAGCTAGACATGGTGGGAAATCTCGTGAATCCTGTCCTGTGAGCAGTCATGTTTTATGACCTTGAAATCAGTAAAATGATGGGGCCTTAAACATTTTATAATTGGATATTTTCATATCTTAACTTAAATTCCCTGCCTTTTATGTCAGTATAAAATGTTTTTATTTTACTCATGAAAGTCTGCTAAGGACAGCCTCTCATTTTAAGACTTATAAATATGTAATCAAATTACAACAGGACAACAAATCATCTTTATTAAAGACACGTGCATTTTATATGTAAATATAATGTTTCTGTATCATTATGTATAACTGACTTTTGTTAAAATATGTATTTTCTATTTCCATTTTAATGAGATGAAGTAGGTGCTCATAACATATTTAGCTAGCAACCAGGTGAGAGCATTCTTTAGTAAGGAAAGGATGATTCAGGATCAGGAGCTATCCTTGTAATCACATGCTTTTCCCATTTAACACTGAAATAATCAAGCATTCTTTAATCACAAAAAGAGAGTTTTGCTTTTTTATTTCCTTAAACATCCTCTGTAGAGTTTGTGGTTTGCAGAGAGCAAGATTTAGCTATGTACACAACTACATATCCCACTTCTCTCATTTGACAGACATTCAATAGCCGCTCAGATTTCCAAACCATGAGCACTCAATTGGAAATATATGAGATCTTCTTTTATCCATTTAACAAACATTATTGGACTTGGAGTGCATACAAATGATAAAGCAGTGTTAAGGATCTAGTAAATGATAACTAAACACCTACTTTCATAAGGGTTATGTTATTACATAGTTAATTCTAAAATAATACAGAATGTTAGTGACATAGATATGTATAAGTTAGAAATATATAAATAATATCTAACTGGGTCAAGATACCAGAAGACTCTCACGAGGTGTTTATATGTGGCCATGGGACCTCAGAGTAAGACATTGCAAAAAGGACAAACTAATATAGGCAGGTGTTTCACAGCCAGAAGTTCAAAACAGATGAGGAAACTAGAAAACAATACAATTGCTTTATCAGGACCTAGTGATACAGACTAACAGACTAATAATCCTATTTACTAAGGATGCTGAGGTAAAGAGATCTCAACCATACTGGAGCTACTTAAACAAACAGTGATACCACTTCTCCAGAAGAAAAATAAATGTAAAAACAAAACTAAGGCTGTTACTGTTAAGTTGGTTGTCTAAGACATACAAAGCCCTAGTTTCTGTCCCCAGTAATCAGCAGTATGAGGAAGAGGGGGGTAGAAGAGGAGGAGGGAGGGGGAGGAGGGATAGGAGGAAGAGGAAGATGAGGAAGACTAGAAAAAGGAGGAGGATTATGTTCATTACTTCTTTTTGTCTCCACTTTATATATAAAAAAAATCCAAACATCAAGTAATTCTAAAATATTAACACTGTACTATAACCTAGTATATTGCATTCCCTCCCCTAATTTTACATATTAGTAATTCTGTCCATTCTACAATTATTAGGGATAATTAACATATCTTCATAATGACATTGGAATAGTAGTGGCTTCTTTCAGGAGACTCACATTTTCCTTGGGGGACAACTGTTGAGCTGCTTCAGTGAAGGCTCTGGCTTTGTACTGCACAACTATGACTTAATGTTAGCTTTATTCATGAAGCAAGGTAAAGATGATAAAATAATTTAGTCTAAACAAGCAGCAATGAAAATTTTACTGGTTATATCAGTTTTGAAGCATTATTCAAATTCAGTCCAAACATTTTATGTTTTCAGATCTCATATCACTAACTTACAAATATAACTTTGAAATAACTTTAGTATAGAGGAGTTTTAATTTGTTCACCACCGAAAGAAAAATGTGGATTTTTATAAATAGTTATCTGAGGAAAACGTCACTCATAAAAATAAAAAACTAGTTCCATTACATTTTAACATTTGAAACTGAGAAAATTTTAACTCATATTTTAAGATAGATACACAGAACCAACAATTTGTAATATATCCTCGAATATTTTATAATCAGATTCTCAATGATAAACTCATTAAATAAGTATTCTTTGTTCTAATCCATCATGACTCAAAAAGTTCTTTACTGGCCAAAGGCACGTGTAAATAACCAAAGAGCAAGTCTGGTTATCTCAGAGCAGTGTTTCTTAGCCTTTGAGTCATTGTTTAACCATTTAAATAAAACATATTTACATAATTTTTTACTGTCCATCATTAGCTGCCTTTTTTATTCCTGAGTCAAAAGTACAAGACCAGTGACTTCTGTCCTGCTGAATCCCGAAAAAATCATTTTATTTATCCTTATTAGTTCTCATCTAAGTCAGAGGTGGCCATTGTTGCTTATTTGACATTTTCTTTCTCTCTTTCATGTCTTTCTTTGGCACTGCTTTCTTTCTTAGCTGTCTATGCGCTTCAGTTCTTACTTAGTCTTATTTAACTCTCAATAAATTTCCACCAATGACCACAAATAACTGGCCATGAATTTTCTCGTGGAATTCAGGATCCTATTTCAATTTGCTTTATAAATCCTCTCCTGTAACAGCTTGCACCACCTTAAAATGTGCTTTTCATCGCATGTGTTATCATTGCACATTTTTTCTCTAATTGACACGTGCATAGCTCTTGAAGAAGCCCAGGCATTTCATGTGGATTCAATGATCTGAAGCATCACACTTGCACCTCACACAAAGTAGATACCCATAAATATTTGATGAATGAGGGATGTTGATAAATACGCCTTTGATAATATTGCTTAAGGAGTTCTGTAATAACTCGTATAAAACAAATGCTTGGTTTTAAACAAGATCTCCTTTCAGTACAGTTGCCTAGCATCACAAATAGCCCATAAGCTTCTGGAGTTGTTTTGTGTGTGTGTGTGTGTGTGTGTGTGTGTGTGTGTGTGTGCATGTGCGCACACACACAAACGCACGCTTTGGACATGAGTTTATTAGACTAGTGTTTCCAAAGGATTAGAGAATAAAGGCAGATTCTGGGATATAGTTAGAACTTATTTTGTCTTAGGCTTTTGGTAATAAATCAAAATGCAATAGAATCCTCAGGGATAGGAATTCTGGGGTTAAACACATGGTTGAAGTCATGTAAGCAGGTCTGACTTCAGACTTCAAAGTATTCACCATCCAGCACTCCATTATTAAAACCTGTAACAGAGACAGAGTGATAACAAAAGTATCCTCTCATTTTTAGTTTGAATTATTAAGATAAACACATCTCTGCTCACTTAACCAATACTGTAGTACTTTCTCAGTCAACTTTAATTTTAAATCAACCCAATTAGCATGCACCAAATGCCTTTATTTCATATCTGTCTCGAAGAGGTGAAAGGTCTTTCTTTCTCTGTGGTACACATCTCATGGGGGCTAATTTGTTTGCAGGAAACATCTATCGGAAACTATTAGCTTCAAATACAAGAAATTGAAGGATCTAGTTGCCTTTCAAGGAGAGAGAGGGGGAGAGGGAGAGAGAGAGAAAGAGAGAGAGAGAGAGAGAGAGAGAGAGAGAGAGAGAGAGAGAGAGA